CTGTCCCCCACTCCACTTTCTCTCATGCACGCACACACACACACACACACACACACACACACACACACACACACTCACTCACTCACACAAGAGAGAGAGAGGGAGACAGAGAGACAGAGAGACAGAGAGACTGGCAGACAGACAGGGAGAGAGAAAATTGAAGTGTATGGTTTTGTCTTTGATTCTGGATGTGCCCTTGTTTTGGCGGTATGGAGTTTGATTATGCAGACCTGATCAATAGCCATGATGTTGGTGGCAAAATAGCTGAGCCAGTAGTTTTTAAATATTAATCCATTCAGCCTCACAACTTCCTGTGAAACTCTATTGCTTAATGAATTTTACAGATTTGAAACTTAGCTTTTTTTTTTTTTTTTTTAAAGAAACCTAGCATGTTTAAGTACTATTTTAAAAAGATATTTATTTTATGTGGAAATGTCAGAAGCTTATTTGTGGTTAAAAAAAAAAAAGCAAAACAACACAAACAATGTCCTCTACAAGAACCCCAAACTTGTCTCACCGATTTTTATACTTATCCTTGGGTTTTGTTTAGACAAGGGTTCTTCACTCAAATGCCTCAGGTCACTAAAGGTCCCGTAAATGGGGGAGGCCACTGAAGGGGAAGGACATACAGTCTTTATGATCTGAGGCTCGGCAGGCAGCAAAACACCTCAGGAGGGCATGGTTCAAGGCTGTACTTACTCAGTAGTTTTGGCATGAATTCTGAGTTTTCTGTGAATTTCCCCCAACATCTTTAAGTTGATTCAAGGTTTCAAGACTTTGTGCTAGCTTCATAATACATATTTGGCTTAAGACTACCAATGTATCTATTTTAGCTAATTTACTTATTTTAGGCTAACAAAATATCCTTAAATCATTTAGGTGTGAATCTCATCTATGGTTTTTAATCCCTCCTGAGAAGGATTCAGACAATATTCTTTCAGATTTTCCGTTTTGAGGATAAGTGTGATCACCCGTAATGTACACACTGGATACGATGTAGGAGGCTGATGAGTAAGGGTACGGGAGGGGGTGAGGGCCAATTTTCTTAAGGCAGATTTAGAGCTCAACATGTAATCAGTTGGCATTTCCAAAATAGGAAGATTTTAGAAAGTTTTTTAAAGGCTCAGAACACCAAAGGTCTACAAAGAAACCAATGCTGGTGAGAAAGGTATTATTTCCAATAACAAAACAAAGCAAAAAGCTCAATTCACTTTTAAATAAGCCATGAAAAAACCAGTGTGAGATTTGAAGGTCATCCAAGGCCCATTTCCGTTGCATCTGGTTTTCCTAATGAGAAAGGTGCAGTTTTGGGTTATTCAGGATAATGCCTTGTGGAAAGAGGCATGGTCACAACCTGGTCCTGTGAGATCTAGTCATGTTCATGACTAGTAGACAACTTGTGAATAGGCAAAGAGACGGCTGAATTCATGCTCACACATACGTGTGCTGTCAGTTGTCAGAGGATGGTGTCAATTAGACTAGCAAGCCTGTGTTTTCCCTTTCAGTGGCAGGAAAGGAATTCATAAGATTATTATCAGTCAGTTTACATGAACTTACTAAGAGAGGTAATGATGCTTCATTAATATAGTAGGGGTTTCTATTATCAAATATAATATTTTTACCTTTGTATGCTTCCTCTGCCTGTTAGAAGGCTGATAAAATGCTGTCCGGTATATATTTAAATACTTAATTATCTTTCACAAAGCTTCAAATTCCTGCACAGATTAACCACAAATAAATAAAAGTTCAGGGCAGAGCCTTTGGAAGATCGCAGCACTTTTTTTTCCCATTATCCCCAGATAGTGACAACTTTATCAGTCCACTTGCGTTCATTTCCTGATTCATCGTCTTAATGGAGTGGCTGTGGAGGTGGGTGGAAGTCTTAAGCAAATCTGCTGGTTATGAAGAAAAAGATGATTGTAGGTTGCTTATATTATTGTTTCGTGGCAAAAAAGATACGGGGGGGAGGGCGAGGGAGAGAGAGGGAGGGAGAGAGAGAGAGAGAGAGAGAGAGAGAGAGAGAGAGAGAGAGAATAAATCAGTGTTGTCAATATGATGATTCAATTATGATGAGACAACCAGATTTGCAAAACTTGACCTTTAGTGATGATTTTTCCTGATTATTAAATAAGATCATACTTGCCCAGTGGATTTTGAAAATACTTAAAACTAATAGAAAAGAAAGAAATATTCATAACCTCATCACTTAGAGATGATAACCGAGTACGGAAGAGACTCTGAAGCCAGACACTTCTTGGAGTTGAGTCAACCCTTAGCTTCATATTATTATTTATTAAAAATTTTTTATTTTAAAATATTTATTTATGCGTCTGTGTGAGTGTATGCCATATGTTAGGGGTGCTTCATACCATGAAGAAAGTGTCGTCGGAGTGATTGCCTGGAGCCGGCCTTACAGATAGTTACGTCAGTGATGGAATCTCTCCAGATCCTTTGCTATTTTTAAAAGTGGGTTATTTGGCCTTTTAGAGTGTCAGTTTCCTAGTGTGCAAATGAGTATGACAACAGAAATTGCATTATGGCTGTTGTCTATAGGCGGCATGGTCAGGTACTACATAGTTCACTACTTACTGTTATTTTCTTCTTGTCTTAGTCCTGACTGTATTATTTTTAATCGAGACCAGGTAGTCTTAGACTTGCTGTGTATTTGGAGATGACCCTGACCTTTTCATCTGCAAGCCTGTAAGTGTGTTTACAGGTGATTACAGGTGTGCCCTACCAAACCTAAACATACTTTTCTTTATAGTGCTGGCCATTGAATCCAGGGCTTACCCTGCAGTACTCTGACAACTGAGCTATACCCCCACCCCTAAACATTGTGGGTTTTTTTTTTTTTTGATAATTAAGAAACTATAAATTCAGTTGGACAGCCCATTTTTTTTAACTCTTTACTCACATACCTGATTGTTTCTTTGGGAGTAATTTGTAGATACCATGGATCATCTGATAATAGCTAGATAGCATACAGAAAAACTCTAGCAGGTAATGATAGATCTAGAATTTTGGTCTGGCAACTATAACTTGACTTTTATGGGAAATGTCATATCCTTCCCTGGTGTATTAATGAAGCTTGAGAAGATCTTAGAGGTCAGCCAGAGGCAGTGTGTCAGGGTGTTTTAGAAGTGGGCTCCAGAGTTTGCCAGCTTATGTCTGAGTTTGATGCTGCAACTTTGTCAATGTTCATAACGTCTCTGAGCCTCTGCTATGCAGTGGTTGTGGTGTTCACATGATTTGGCATATAATCCTACCCCCTAGTAATCGCTAAATGAGTGCTGGTTTTTACTGTGTGTTTTCTTCCACACTTGACGTTTGCTTTTATAATTAAAATGTTTGAGAATAGCAGTACTTTTCATGAGTAATTAATTTTTAAACTGTAAATACAAAGCTAAGCAAAAGAAGTATCCTTAAGTTAATTTGAATTATTTACCCTTCCTTTTAAGTATAGCAAGAACATCTTACCTGCCTTAATTTTTTTTTTTTGGCATAAAAAAGGCATTTGATAAACTCCATAAAGAGTTTAAAAATAGTTGTCTTAGGGTTTTTATTGTTGTGAAGACACACTGTGACCACATAACTCTTATAAAGGACAACATTTAATTGGGGCTGGCCTACAGTTCAGATGTTCAGCTCATTGTTGTCATGGTGGGAAGCATGGTGGCTCATGGGCAGACATGGTGCTGGAGAGGTAGCAGAGAGTTCTACATATGGTTCCACAGGAAGCAGGAAGAGACAATGAGATGCTGGACCTGGCTTGAGCATCTGAGACCTCGAAGCCCACACTTCCTCCACTAAGGCCACACCTACTTCAACAATGCCACATCTCCTAATAGTACCAGTCCCTGTCAGCCTCTCAGACCATTTTCATTTAAACCACCACAATTGTCTTCAATAATACAAAGGCAAAATGTGTTTTTCATCTAAATTATTCTTTTGTTAATAGATTGTATTATATGGCCCAGGTTGGCCTTGAATTTGTGATCCTCCTGCCACAGCCCCCTGAATGGCTGTGGTAACTGGTGTGTGCCACTCACCTGGCTCAAGTACGTTATTCTCCCCTCCCCCTAAGACAGGGTTTCTCTGTATACCCTTGGCTGTTCTACAGCTAGCTTTGTAGACCAGGCTGGCCTTGAACTCACAGAGACCTGCCTGCCTCTGCCTCCCAAGTGAATGCTGGGATTAAAGGTGTGCAGCACCACTACCTGGATCAAATATTCTTTTAAAAGACAAAACCAAAAAACGCCTTATGTTTTTTGTGTGTTGAGAGTTGAGAAAGAATATCTCATATAACCCATGTTGGCCTCAAACTTGCTGTGTCTGAGGATGACCTAGCACGCCTGATTCTCTGCTGCAGATGCACTAGTCTACCAGCTGTATTAGATTATGTCATCATCATCATCATTAATATTATTTTATGGTTTTTCCAGACAGGGTTTCTCTGTGCAGCCCTGGTGGTCCTGGAACTTACTCTGATCTGCCTCTGCCTCCTGCCAAGTGCTGGGATTAAAGGAATACACCACCATTGTTCCACAAGCTGTATTACTTGTTAAGCTTGAATGTAAACATAGCACCTGCAAATGATAATGCTACCATTTATACCAGAGTACTGTGCACTGTACACTGTGCACTGCTTCCTTGGGTTAAGTATTACTGTAGTTATTTTACTTACAACAATGTGTGAAATCCTTACATGTCCCATGGAGATACTTTTATTGGTCTCATTTTCATGGATGAAGAAACTAAGGCACAAAGAAGTTTAAGAACTTCCTATGCTTATATGACTGTGGAGGGATTTCTTTCCTATGCTGTCTAAGCTCTGGAGCCCATGCTTTTTAAACCACCTCATTATACTACTTTTCACCTAATATATTTAATTCAGCAAAAGATTCTTAAATGCAATAATGATGGATAGTTAGATTTCTTCCCTTTGTAAATATGCAGGAGTACAGGTCTCAACTCATGTTTTTTTTTTTTTTTCTTTTTAGTTCTTCAGCTTTGGAACGAAAACACTGTATCAAAGCATTGATGCTCCACAGGCTAAATTCTTCTCGCCCCTTTTAAAGCCTATGCTACCACCTAATACTTTTCAAGGAAAAGTGGCTTTCATTACGGGTGGAGGTACTGGCCTAGGCAAGGCAATGACAACTTTCCTGTCCAGCCTGGGTGCCCAGTGTGTGATAGCCAGCAGGTAAGTGTCACTTGAGAGTCGGTGAAGAAACTCCCTTTGTCGCAATATTAAAAACAGTTTTCCAGGGCTATTTGATTGCATATTATATAAAATAATCTATAGATAGATTAAATAAATCTCTTTGGAAAAATTTAGTTGCAATTTGATTTGTAAAAAATAGTAGTGGTTATGAAACTGATGGTGTTTGCAGTTTTCATTTTCTGAATATGAAGGTGCAGTTTAAAAGGACTCCATTGAAGTGGTCTTCTTCATTTCTGTTGGAGTCCTTATCTTTCTAACTAATTCAATCGATAAGTAACCTCATACCAGAATAATGAGTGCAACCCTTATGGTTGTTTTATAGTGGACAAGAATTTCAAAATGCATATTGTGATGTATATAAAGCCACACAGGCAGAAGTTCTTATCTGGGCTTATCCTGGTACCATCTATGAAATCTGAATCTTGTCCTTGTTAAAGTTTCTGCCCACCTAAGTGACAGTTAGTAGGCTGTCATTCACAAATGCAAATTGGACAGAAAGTTTATTATGTTCTTAATGTTGTAATGTGTAAGAATTTTAAAATATTATTTTCACTTTAATGCTATATAGTTGACATTCATGGTTTTTTGTGTTTTATGTAAGACTGATCACATAGAGTTACCCATACTCATAAATTTAAATCTGAAACCCATGAGTATTATAACAGGAGTACATTTCTTTCAATGAAGAATGGATGTAATGATTCTAATCAAGGGAATAATTTAAATCAATAAGTAAGTCAGGTGTAGTTGCACATACCTGTAGCCCTAGCATGTAGGAACTAGAGGCAGGAGGATGAAGGATTCAAGGTCACACTGTCTAATAATAATAGTTGAAGGCAACATTGATTGTATAAGTTCCTGTTTCTAAGACAAAACAAAACCTTTCTAAATAATTTGATATGTAGATAGTGCTATACAAAAGTAACTAATTTCATGAATTAATTTTATATATATTAAAGTAAACTTCATTTTCCTGATGTAATTGTCGTCTCGGCTGCTTACTGCTGATTGAGCTCACCCTTTCTAGCTCTTTCTGAACTCTGGCTGGTTGGCTCAACTCAGCTGTTGTGGCTCAAACTCCTCTCCAAGCTGACTGATTCAATCTGGCTTCTCTCAGTTTCTCACTGAATTGCTCTAGCAATCTGTTTAATCTTCTGGGTCCTTTTCATCCTCTGGCTCATCTGTCTTTACCTGTGTCTAGTGTACTCTCTCTGCAATCTGTCTCTGTAAAACTGTCCCCGTAAAAACTACTTCCTCTGTCTCTCTCCCTCTCTCTCTCTCTCTCTCTCTCTCTCTCTCTCTCTCTCTCTGTCTCTCTCTCTCTGTCTTTCTCTGTCTCTCTCTGTCTCTGTCTCTCTGTCTCTCTCTGACACTCTCTCTCTCTGTCTCTCTCTCTCTCTCTCTCTCTCTCTCTCTCTCTCTCTCTCTCTCTCTCCATTGCTATCTTACGTCCCCTTTTCTTCCTGGCCTGCTATTGTAAGAGTTGGATATGTCCCATCCTGTCAAATCTTTCTCTGATGCCTCACTTTGTCTGTCCCTCAAGTAGACATCATTGTTTGGGATTAAAGGTATGTATTCAGGGTGTGTCTGTATTCTAGCGAGATCATACCATAATCCAGAGCAGCCATGCTGCTGGATTAAAATTCCTCTACACAGATATATTTCAATTTAACTTTTAAAAAATGAAATTAATCAGTCTGATTTTTATATAAGTATAAATTTTATACTTTTACAGAAATGTTTTTCTTTAAACGGTCAATTGTCTATGTTCTTTAGACTGGAGAACAAAAAAGAAAGTTACAAATTACAGTATAAAAGCATTTTAGGACTCATGTGAAGTTCCCTGTATTTATTTCTAGGAATATTGATGTTCTGAAAGCTACTGCAGAAGAGATTTCTTCTAAAACTGGAAATAAGGTATATTTAGCAGCAGCCCTTTAACTCTGATGTGGGGATTATAACATATTTATGTAGTTTACTTGTGGATTTGGCTTGGGAAGCCTGGAAATGACTGAATTCTTCCTTCTTCGTCGTTTTGCAGGTTCATGCGATTCGGTGTGATGTTCGAGATCCTGATATGGTACATAACACAGTGCTGGAGCTGATCAAAGTTGCAGGGCATCCGGATGTAAGTGTCACGGGGCTGAAGCCTTTGAACGCACAGGCTTTGACTCTGAGAGCATCACCAGGATGCACAGAGGGAATGAGCTGTTGAAATGAGTGAGAGCCAGGTTGGGACAAAGCCAGGTCTGTTTAAAGCAGAGAAGAGATTGGCTGGACTTCTATGCCATTACCTCGCAGGAATACTTAAAAAACACATTTATAGTCACAGACCAAACTTGATTATACTTTATTTAATGAGATTATATAATAGCAGGAGGAGTTACCCAAGAGCACAGAGGCTGGTTTCAGTGATTGACTGGGTTAGCTTTTCCTGATAACTGTCAGTCTCTCAGTAGAAGAGAATGGCACAAACCAGGGAAACTGTCAGAAATACCATACACTTCTGCTTCCTGGACCTGAGTGGCAATCAGTACTTTGCTGTTACGTGGCTCATTTTCGAGAGAAAACCTATTTTTTCCAATAGTCTCAAAGAGAACACTTTCTCTGTTAAGAGCTGTTTCAGAGAGACCTCTAACACTGAAGTTGTGCCAGAACTCAGCAGATCCTTCCCTGGGAGTGAGGGACCAGGCCACCAGTGAAGTTCATCACTTAAAACTAAGGGACAGCATAACCTAAAAGGCAATTTTATTTTGATGATTTGTGTCTGTGGGTGGAGGATGACATAGGGATTCCTTCTCCATGTACCACAGGCTAGCCTTAACTTCCAATGTACCCCAGGCTGGCTTTTAATCTCAGTCCTCTTGTCTTTGCCTTCCAAATGCTAGGATTACAGGTATGCACCACCACAGCTGTTTCAAAGGCATTTTGTGGTTATTCAAAGTAAAGTGTAGTTATGTGGTAAGCAAGCTTACCTATTTTTGTTGTCCTTGTAGCCTGCACTAATTTTAAAGACAGGATTGGGAATTCTGAGACTGGGAAAGAATACAGGTCATTTTTTACATTCTCCAGAAACATAAAGACCAAATGAATCTCGTGGCCTTGCTTCCTAGCTGACTGTGGTGTTGAGATGTGCCTAACATCTTGCCTCTTTTATTTCAGGTGGTGATAAACAACGCTGCAGGGAACTTCATTTCTCCCAGTGAGAGACTGTCTCCCAACGGTTGGAAGACCATAACTGACATAGTTCTCAATGGCACAGCCTATGTGACACTAGAGATTGGAAAGCAGCTAATTAAAGCACAGAAAGGTATGTCTGTTCAATCATAGTCGGGCTCGTTCTCAGCTGAGTCAGTGCCCTGGCATACTTCAAGATGTACGTGAGATAGCCTGCACTCATAGCATGAAGACCCACGTTTACCAGAGGCTGTGGTAGAAGACTTAGTAAACACGTTTCAAGGACATTTGGAAACTTAGCGACTCCTTCTTCCTGTGGCTGACTCACTGATCATTATAATCTTTCATCTTAACACAGACTCCAATCTATTTTTACCTCGATAGAGGCCTGGTAGAGGAGAAGGACAGATGTGTTTAGAGAATAATAAAGAGTTCGATGTGGACAGAGAAGAGGAGCAGAGGAAGTGGGAAGCAATTGTGGGGAGGTGGCTTGTCATGTGACTGGGAAAGTCTCCAGTACCAAAATAGGAAGTCAGAGTCCATTGAAGTTACCTTGTGAAGAAAGGTGATTTGCCGTAAAATATCCCTGACTGCATTGTGTTGCTGAGAAGTTTGATGTTTTTCCTTTGGGCATGTGGAGAGATGCTGTGGGTGGTAAGGGAGGCGGTTTCAAAGCTAGTAGCAGCAGAACTTAAGAGAGGAAAGTTTTTAGCTGAGGTGAATAGTTTGTTTGAAGGTGACACTTTTGAGATTGCAAACACCTGAGAGATCAAGAACACCACAAAGAAACTAGATTTGAATGGACATTACTAGAAGAGTTTTGCCATGACTGAACCAATTTCTTTATTAAAATTAATGTCTATATAGATAGAAAGCGTGTAATGCCTTATATATACTTAACACACACAGAGAGACATGGAGGGAAAGAGGGAGGGAGGGAGAGAGGGAGGGAGGGAGGGAGGGAGGGAGGGAGGGAGAGAGAGAGAGAGAGAGAGAGAGAGAGAGAGAGAGAGCGCTTTGTTTACTAGATTCTTGCTCTGACTTTATATAACAGACCTCATGCTGTGTGCTCTCTGGAGCAAAAATGTACAAGATTGTGCCTCTCAATAATTTGGGGTCAGGACCCGAGGCTTAGGGCACTTTCTCCGAGTAGATAGAGTACTCCAAACAAGGCCAAGGACTCTCAGTGGCTGTAGTGGGGTATGGAGGACATTGTAGCTGATGTTGGTCCCCTCTCTGTTCAGAAACTTGTCTGTGAGATTCCGCTTCCTCTCCCCAGTGTGCATAACTCACAAACCAGCTTTCGAAAGGATGGCCAAAGACATAGAAGGGTGAAAAGTGGCATAGAGAGGCACAGCTTTGCAACAGATGTTAGTAATCCCATGCCTTCCCAGCACTCAGCACAGTCCTTTACCCAGCTCCACTACAAGCAAAGCAGATGGGATTGGGATCTGGACTTTTGTGACACTCTTCCTTTATTTACTGATTTATTTTTTCCTGATAGATAGACTTTAGAAGGGAGTTGGGATTGTCAGCTCTTTCTGCCTGCTTGCTGTTATTTTTTGTGTCCTCTGTTTGTCTTGTCCTTTGTCTCTGTGCGAGCTTATGTGTGTTTTCTTCTTCTTCTTCTTCTTCTTTCTCTTCCTCTTCCTCTTCTCTGTCTCTGTCTCTCTCTGTCTCTCTGTCTGTCTCTCTCTGTCTCTCTGTCTGTCTCTCTCTGTCTCTCTCTGTCTCTCTCTCTCTCTCTCTCTCTCTCTCACACACACACACACACACACACACACACACACACATTTCTGATCCTGCCACTATTTTTGTCTGTATCTCTTCTCCCTTTGTAGGCTCTTCATTTTTGGTTCTCTGTTTCTTTCTGTCTCCGTGATACTTTCTTTCTCTGCTTCATTATCTCTCATTTCTTCCTTGCTCATCCTGATGATCCTTAGTTTTCTGACTCACTTCTCATTGACTTTCATTTTAACAGTCTTCAGTCTATTTTTACTCCTCACCCTGGATTAAAATTCTATGGGCTTCATTATAAATGTATTAGGTTAAGACTCTGTAAAAGATGGGGGCCCTTTTCTGTTCTTCCACGTTTCCTGCCTGTTGAGGCTGTGACCTGACGTTCTGGGTCCTGGGTTGGAAAGGCTGAGTTCTATGTGTCTAAGCTGGTACTGCATTGGCAGTTGAGGGTCTCAAGTACTTATGATCTCTCAAGCATGCTAGTATGGGTAAGCCTGGATGTTGGTTTAGGGGATGCATGTAATCCTTCACCAAAAATATGTAGGCAGTCCAGCACCTAGGAGGTCAGTCTAGGAATGTCATTGGCTGGTTGTCCAGTGAAGATGAGGACACCAGCGTCAAGTGCACTCTTGCTTCTTACAGGATAGAGATTGACACAGCAAGGGATTGAGGGTTGAGGACAGAGTAGCTAGAGTTGAGGCCCAGCTGTGGTGATACAAAGTTAGCAGCTATGAGTAACTTAAAAAGAAATGTGCCTGCCATTGCTTGTCCTTGTACTGTTCTGGAGCCACTAAGTCTCCACATCCCTTGTCTTTCACACAAGGACATTTTGCAGACAAACCGATTTGAGAGATCTGAAAGGCCGAATTCGATGTGGAGAAGTAGTTGTGAGAATGGTGAAGAGAAACATGCTTATTTGCATATTGTCAAGGGACCCTCCAGTACCCTCCTGACCCCAGGCTCTTGGGGGTGAGCTGCATGTTGTTTCTGTTCTCAGATATGGCTGACAGTAAGAATCTTAACAGTATGGAGGAGATCTTACTGACATGTGCTTCAAAATGCTTTCTTTGTGGTCCTTCAACCTTAAACCACTTACTCCCTTCTTTCCTGCTGTTGTTTTGAGGCAGTGTTTTATTATGTAGAGCAGGCTATCCTTCAGCTCTTGCCTCAGCCTTGAAAGTGTGGGGATTATAGGTGTATACCACCGTACCTCACTTTCCAATATACAGTAATTAAATAAACATAAGTATATTTTATCATACTCTTATAACATTAAACTTGCAGGCTTTTTTCCATATCTAGTATTATATCTGTTTAAAAAGTAGAAAATCTGGTTTCTCACAACGCAGAGCACTCTTCCAACTTTTAGTGCACTCAGTTTACTGAGACTCTGCTATGTCCCAGACGCAGTTGCTACTTCTGTGTGTGGTGTCAGCTTTACTCTCAGACACAGTTGCTACTTCCGTGTGTGGTGTCAGTTTTACTCTAACTTTATAGAGTCAATTTAAGAAACAAGAAGACATGCTTTCTGTTTGTCTACATTTCTGATATGTCGTCCTTCTGTCCATCTGAATTTCTGTTAATATTAATTTTATTTAGCCTCAAGACTGTCTTTAACTTCATTCTGATGCAGATTAGGGGCTGTGAACTCTGCTTTGGGCTAGCAGAAGTCAGCACCTTCAGTTTCAGGACTTTTTTTTGTTGGTTTTAGAATTCAAAGTTGACAAGATTTTTGGTTCAGAATCTTAAAGTTGTCGCTGTCTTCCTTGTAGTCCCTGACGAAGGCTGGGTGAAGACATTACCTGAGCTACCTTATCCTGGTGGCCCATTGCTGGTTTTTACAGTTTCTGCCTTCTATTTACCTCTCTTGGCATTTGTTTGCCTCCTAGAAATTGTAATTTATAGGTTTTTTTTCTTTCCAAATTAGATTTTTTTCAGTCTTTATTTCTCCCTTCCAGATCTCCAGTTACACATATATTCTTCTGGAATGTCCCATATATTTTCGTCTTTGGCTTCTTTTTAACTGTTTCCCCTGTGACCTTTGTATTGGGTAGTTTCTATTGTGCCTTCATTGACGATCTTCCACAGCTAAGTTCATTCCTTTAATTTTAAATTTTCAGATATTACATTTTCTGCCATAGATGTTGTTTGTTTCTATTTTGATATTTTAAATTACTTTTAGTATTGCATTTATTTATTTGTGTTTGATATGCACACATGTGCACGTATGCTTAGATATATTCTGCAGTGAGCGCGTGAGGTCAAAGGACAACTTTCAGAATCAGCTTCTCTCTTTCCACTGTTTGGGGGGTTGAAGTCTGGTTGTCAGGCTCGGCAACAGGCTCCTTTACCCAGATGCTCATATAAGGGCCTTCTCTGAACTCTTAACATGTTTTCTTTGAAATCTTTTATCAGGTTTATCATACTGTTACAGCTGTATCTTCTGGTCATTTTTTGCCTTTATTAATTGGGTTTCCCCACATTTCTAACTCAGTGAACACAAATCCTGGGTTTTGAGGTTTCCTTTGAAGTGTGTTGAGTCTTACTCTGAGCACATGATCATTTTACAGCTCATCTTTTGGGTTTATTTGGGTGGGTATAGTAGCTTTTCCTTTGAGTCTAACTTAGCTCTTTGGTATGATTCTCCTGAGCTGGCTACAGAAGGTTTTGCATGCTCATTAGGATTCGTACCGCCTCTCTGTCTCCAGCCCTTTGTGAGCCTTTAGGGACACCATCCAGTTCAGTGCTGTGATGGCAGCTGCCTTTTTCTAGATTCCATGATGTTTACCCTCAGGTACTTAATGGGGCATCAGCACACACTCAGGGAGACGCTATGAAAAATAGCTGAGCCCTGTTCCTGTGCACATCCCTTCTCAGAACTGCTTCTCATTCAGAAATTCTAAAATGGCGTTAGGCTTATCATCTCAGGATGGCGTCTCTTCTCTACCTGCTGTAAGGTTGCTGTCAATGACAGTATCTGTATCTCTTGTACAGTTATAGTGATGTATAAGTCCATCATGGCTAGAGATAGACGTCCTTGATAACTTAATTCTGATTTATGTTGAAGTAGTTCTTGGCCTTGGAATGTGTCTCTTAGATTTGAGTCTTTGTATTAACAGGTCAGGCACAGAATCGCAGACAGTGCAGACTGGCCATCCCCAAAACAATGTCTTAGGGTTTCATTGCTGTGAAGAGACACCAGGACCAAGGCAACTCTTATAAAGGAAAACATTGGGGCTGCTTACAGTTTCAGAGGTTCTGTCCGTTATCATCATGGTAGGAACCATGGCAGTATACAGGCAGAACTCATGGTGTCGGAGGAGCCAACATTTCTACATCTTGATCTGCAGGCAGCAGAAGGGGACTGTCTTCTGCAGGCAGCCAGCAGGAGGCCTTAGATCTCACTGGCTAGACTTGAATGTATTGAGTGTATTGAGAGACCTCAAAGCCTATCTCCACAGTGATACACTTCTGCTAGCAAGGCTACACCTCTTCCAGTGAGGTCACACCTCCTAATAGCACCACTTCCCATGGGCCAAAAATACTCAATCCACTACATTAAGACTAGGAGCAAGACGACACACTTTTCTTAGATTACTCTTTCAGTGATGAAGGCTAGTAAACTTACAAACAAGAGTAGGCCTTCTAGATTTTGTGATTCCTTTTGGCACGGGACCTCATTCCTGCCCGTCTTGTGAAGTAGCCGCAATGCTGTTAACCGAGTCCTTTAACTTTCCAGGAGCTGCATTTCTTGCTATCACTACCATCTATGCTGAGAGTGGATCAGGCTTTGTAATGCCAAGTTCTTCAGCCAAATCAGGCGTGGAAGCCATGAATAAGTGAGCACTACTGACTTAATTGTGTTGCTGAAAATAGATAAAGTTCTCTGGTCAAAAGAAAGACTGATTTGGAACAGGCTATGTCTGATCACATGTTCCTGTGCCACAGGACTGATTTTACTGACCTCGAATTTGATTGATACTCTCTTACTGAATTTTATCTGTTGCAAAATTACAGTATCTTAAGGTCATTATTATGTTAAAACCTTTTTCTTTTATAAGCCTCTCAGGAGGGAATGTTTTACTGGGTTTTGTCCTAAAAGCAGTTGCACTTCTGAGGAAATAGTATGCTGTTTCTCAGAGGCACTGCAAACTCCATACCTGACTAGGGTATCGTTTTCACTGAGTCACGATAAGAGGATCCAAATTTGCCATTACATAAAACACTTCTTTGGGGGTGGGGTGTTGAAACTGGGTTTCTTTATACAGCCCTTGGTTGTCCCAGAACTCACTCTGTAAACCAGGCTGGCCTCTAATTCACAGAAATTTGCCAGCCTGTGCTTTCCAAGTGCTAGGTGTAAAGGCAGGTGCCACCACATCTGGCTATATAAAACATCCTTTTTTTTTTTTTTTTAAAAAAAAAAGAGTATTTGTTTATGTATATGGATACTTTGTCTGCATATACATTTGCACACCAGAAGACAGCATCAGACAGTTGTGAGTTGCGATGTGGGTACTGGGAATTGAACTCAGAGCCTTCAGAAGAGCAGTGAGTGCTCTTAACCACTGAGCCATCTCTCCAGCCCCCCCTACATAAAACATCTTAATGCATTGTATTAGCTTCATTTTGTTGTCTTCATTATGCTTCCTTGTCTACTTTGACCCTTTTATGCTTCTTCTCTTCCTGTCTTATCTTCCTTATTTGGATGATTTGTATCTTTTAAGGTAACGTCATTCTCCTTTTGCAACTGTATTAAGTAGACATACGTATAAATATACACACATAAAAAACATGCCAGTAAAATCTATAAAATATGATCATGTTAAATAGTAGACTGTTAAGTGCATTTCTAAACAGGTTCCATGTTCACTCTTAATAATGTATTTTCATTTAGGACATTCAAGATTTTGTTTGAGTCTTATTTCTTTTGAAGCCCAGTTCAACAATTATGTTAAAACCTTGTTAAACAAGGCTGTGTTTTTACTTTAATTAACTGTGTAATCCATCTCTTGTTCAGTTGATGTACTTGTGATGGTTTCTACAGACATTTTGATCCAGAGCGTAGGCTATAAGGAAATGTAATGACCTTTGTAACAGTAAGCTTGAGATGCAGAGGGTGGTGGGGATGAGCCTGAAGTTCACATGTAAATCTGGTTGGTTTTGAACTCACAGAAACCCACCTACCTGTGTCTTCTGCGAGCTGGGAGGTTGACAGATTAGCAACATAAAATTAAGAAAAATGCTTTAATCTCTCTGCAAATCTGCCTATTTGTAACACAGGGAGTAATAGTAACACTTACCTGATGGTGTATGACTCCTTGGAGGCAATGAGTGTTCAGTGAACCCTGGTTATTCGTACTTGAACATACAGTACACTATTTTAGAATGCACACTATGTACTTTAATTTTTGGTATTTTATCTCTCTTAATTTTTAGGTCTCTTGCAGCTGAATGGGGTAGATACGGAATGCGTTTCAACATAATACAGCCAGGGCCTATCAAAACCAAAGTAAGTTTTATTTGGCATATTATAACACTGTGAAGGGATTAAAGAATGAAACAGTGATGAATGTGCATTCTCATTGCTGTGTGGGACTCTTCAGGGATGCCTGGATCCGAAACCCTTGTTGTAGGGAGAGAATCTTTGAAATTTATTCAGTATAAGTACTGATAATGCAGCCAGTGTCTTCATATTCCCGGATACTTATGTCATCAGTTTTGACATTTTAGTGATTAATTTGTTATCATAGATATGTTATTGCCTTGAATTTTTAATTTTTTGCCTGTTTAAAAATGTGTTTAATGTGTATGGGTGTATCGCCTACATATTTGACTGTTCACCATTTCCATGCAGTGCCCGTGGAGGAAGAAAAGGGCACTGAATGCCCTGGAATTGGAGTTCTAGGTGGTTGTGTGCTGCCATGTGGGGCTGGAAATAGAAGCCTAGGTGCTGGACAAGCAGCCAGTGCTCTTAACCATTGAGCCACCCTTCTCTCGAATGTTTGCATGTTTTAAAAGTCCCGTGACTCTTATAGTCTTAGTTTTAAGTTGTGGCAATGCCACTATATCTGTAGCTTACAAGGACCTCTAGAAATCTGAGAGGAAGGCTTTCAGGTACGCTCTCTTTGGCTCATTGCCTGTGCCTCTTTATTTTCAGCCAGTTACACTGGTCTCTGACTCTACCTCTGGTTAAAATTCTCTCTGGAGGAGTGCACCTCACCAGTGTCGTTAACTTTTCAGACACCCATGACAACCCCCAGTCACCATTTTTATGGACATCGTTTAGAATGGCCACACATTTCTGCTCTCACATTTCCTGATGACTTCTCTCTCACATGATCTCCTGATGGCTTCTCTCTCACATGATCTCCTGATGACTTCACTGTTACATCGTTTCCTGATTACTTCACTCTTACATCATCTCCTGATGGCTTCACTCTTACATCATTTCCTGATGACTTCACTCTCACATGATCTCCTGATGACTTCACTCTTACATCATTTCCTGATGACTTTACTCTTACATATAATTTATTTTCTTGTAAAGCCAGAATGTATTACTCTTGAGATGCAACTTTGAAAACCCAGAAAATTACATAAAAACCATACCAAGGTATATTCATTGATTAGTAGGTAGTATTAAATTTTACAATGGAAATTGTACTATTAGTTTATTTATTAATTTAATTGTTAGACATATAAAGAAAAGGTGCCAGAGTGAATGGAAATGTTATATATATATAACACACACACATATATATATTCAGTAATAAGAATCTAATGGCAACACAAGTGAAAGCCAAGACACATAACTGCACACTATCCCAGAAGAACGATAGTTGCAGAAGCTTCTTTCCTGGACTCCAGTGACTAGGAGAGATTATCTGCTTTATGTATTACTTTGCCTTGTGCTTCTTTACTTCTTAAGTTTAGTTTTATCTTTTTGTGTGAGTGCACATGTGTGTCTGCATGCACATCCGAGTACCACATGTATGCTTGGTGCCACAGAGGTCAGAAGAGAACAGTGAATCTCCTGGAATTTGAGATAGGGATGTCTGTGAACCACCATGTAGGTGCTAGGAATTGAACTTGATCCTCTGCAAGAACAAGTGCTCATAACTGCTGAACCATCTCTTTAGCCCCAACATTGTATATTTTGAGTGCCCATTTTATAGAAAATAATGGAAAAGGTATGAGAACATTTATGTCAGAGAGCCTCCCAAGTAGGAGTGTGTCGTGGAGAAGTAGAGATAAGGGTTGATACCAACTAATAGGTATTCCATTTTAAAGAGAGAGAGGGGAAGCTAAAGCCCAGAACTTAACTGGCAAGGTCTGGTGGCATGAAGGTTGCACCAGCTGCGGCTTTTAGTCTCTGCTACCTTGTGCCAGCCTTGGGAGAACTGCAGGCTCACCTGGCACCTCCAGGGCATGCCCTCACCTGTGTTAGGGACCCTGGTTTTAGGAGTCTGCAAGCGTTGACCTCACCTTGCTATGCCTGCACATCACAGCCCCCGACACTGGCCAGTGAGATCCCTGCTCCCTTGATCTCATGTGCACTTGGAGTTAATAGCCTTTGCTTTACCCTTTCTGTTTTTATTTTTAAAGAAAAGAGAATAGAGTAACTTCTCTTAAACATCTCATATTTGAATTGCTTTTCTGTGTTTACTGAATGAAATAATGACTCTCTTGCTCACTTGATGTAATCTCAGAGCTCTTTTGGGAATATTGCTTCCTCATTTGACTTTTTGTAGTGACTTGCTGAGGTAGGAGAAATTAAAAACTAAGCTAGCCATTTACATTCTTGGTAGACCTTTTTTTCCTTTTAAAGGATAGATTTTGGGGGAAATGAATTGTTTTGGCTGACAGTGAATGAGACAAATTTTGGTGACAGTCTTTTTACAATGTCTAAGCTGTGAGTAGCATGCTATAGTACAGTTGTATTTTATGTGAAATTGAGAAATAAAGCACATTCATGCTTTTCATACACACCTGATCATACAGACAGACAGATAGTCACACTAACCTAACTTTTCTCTTTTGTTGCTAAGGGTGCCTTTAGTCGTTTGGACCCGACTGGAAGATTTGAGAAAGATATGATCGAGAGAATCCCCTGTGGTCGGCTGGGAACTATGGAGGAACTTGCAAATCTAGCCACTTTCCTTTGCAGTGATTATGCCTCTTGGATTAATGGGGCAGTAAGCATTGCTGTGTCTTCACTTTTTGGGGGGTTGGGGGAAACTGATCCTAATTGAAATCGATCCTAATGCTGAACATAGATATAATTTAAAATAGTTAGTTAGTTCCAAGCAGTGTAAAATATTTACACATTACTCATCCTAAACATGTATTCCTTGATAAATTAATTTTATTAAGTGCAAGTTGCCTTGGTAGACATTGCTTACAGATGATCTTTAAATTGGGTAGAGTTTTGTTGGAAAGAGGACTTTGAGCAGAACAAATAAGTTCAGATTGTGTCTCAGTTTTATCTTTTGAAACCTGAGCTTTGATTGCTGCTGCCGAGGAGCTTTGCATTCAGTTGGGCTATGAAGATGGGTCATGATTGAGAGACTTTTCAGAAGGAGTGAAGGGCTTTGTGTTATCTTTCTCAGGTCATTAGATTTGACGGCGGAGAGGAAGTATTTCTGTCAGGTGAATTCAATTCTCTAAAGAAGGTAATGCCATTTGGTTCATACACCGTTACAGGTTAGGGTACTGGGCTTGTTTTAATCACTAGCAGACCCAGTTAAATTGACTTTGTTTCCTTCCATCAGGTCACCAAGGAGGAGTGGGATGTAATCGAAGGACTCATCAGGAAAACAAAAGGCTCCTAAGATGGTCGTGACTTCATCTGTGACGCTAACACTAAAGTTAGGGGCTAGAGTGATACAGATGGACCATGGTTTTCTGCTTGTCTTCAGGATTAATAAACTTTTTTAATTGTTTTCTTGATGATTTATGTAGTTCTGGGGATCGAACCCAGGGTGTCTGGTATGCTCGTATTCTACTTCTAAGTTGCACCTCAGCCCTAATAAGTGGTCAACATTTACGAAGTGCAAACAGTGTGCCTGGTCAGGGGTGGCCACTATGTATTGAAGGGTAAATTGGATGGGATATCTTTTATTTAAAACATGTGAAAAACAAAAAGGAGAAAAGATTTTTTTCCTTCTCAAATTATTTTTATGTTGGTGAGATGGCTCAGTAGGTAAAGGTACTTGCTGCTAAGCTGGATGAGCAGAGTTCAATCTCAAGGCCCTACTCTGTAGGATAGAACCAACTCTCCAAAGTGGGTCTCTGCCTGTTTCACATGCATACGCTGTGCCCAGTGTGTGTGTGTGTGTGTGTGTCTGTGTGTGTGTCTGTGTCTGTGTCTGTGTGTGTGTGTGTATGTATCTCCTTTCCTCTCCCATGGAACGATTTCTTTTCCATATCAGTCTCCTCATGTTTTTAGAGTTACTTCCATTGGTGTCATGGGAGGTCATTTCCTTCAGTCAGGGGGTTGACTGAATGGCTGCATCACTGAGGACTATGATGTCCGTCCCTCAGCAGCCATTCACTGCCTGTAGCGCCTCAGGTGGGGTGTTTGTGAAAGCTTTGATAGTACTGGAGTGTGTGTGGAAAGGTGGAGAATAGAAAAGGGAGTCTGCTTCTGTGATCTGGTAAGACAGAAGAACCTTAAGAGTGGAGGTAACGGCCGGGCGGTGGTGGCACACGCCTTTAATCCCAGCACTTGGGAGGCAGAGACAGGCGGATTTCTGAGTTCAAGAGTTCGAGGCTAGCCTGGTCTACAGAGTGAGTTCCAGGACAGCCAGGGCTACTCAGAGAAACCCTGTCTCGAAAAACCAAAAAAAAAAAAAAAAAAAAAAAAAGAGTGGAGGTAACCTGTGAGGGACACATTACACTGTGCCTGCAGCAATGGAGCCTAGAAATGAGAGGACCCCGCCCTCTCAGAATAAATTATCTTCATTATAGCTCTGTATTAATTCAACCTTGGTGTGTTAGAGATTGTATATTATGCCAGATGCTTTATCTGATACAGAATAACTGATAGTGCTTGACTCTGGAAACTAGCTAGTGGGAATGGCTCTAAACTAATTGTATTGGAGACATTGGGATAAATATTACATGGGATTTAGGTGTTGGGGAAGGGGTAATTTACATTGCTTTCAAAGTTAGCAAATATAGTAATATGAGATAGCCAAGATTTCTGTAAGAGAATAATGAAGGCTATAAAAGTTTGTACTTTACTAATATATATTTTTTATTTGGGTATAATCTTATAATCTGTTAGCTTAAGCTAACAGTCTTAAACCTCCAGAGCCTGTGTTTTTTAGAAAGTCCATTTGGCTTTCAGAGCAAGCGCTTACAGCATGTTCTCTACACTGACCGCTACCATTGTCCTCTGTGCTACAACAGGAAGCAGCTTTTATTACCTCATGAATAGATCTTTGCAAGAATGTAGGGTTTCTGCTTGTTACATGTAAGGCCTGTATGGTAACTGTACATTGACAGTTAATTGTGTTCATATAGGATGTTTATTGTTCAGTAAACACATCCACAGTATGATTGTTTGGGTTTGGAATAAGGCCTTTGAGAGTGACTGTTACACTGGTGTCCACTGGGGTGGTCTAAGATGCTGATCCTTTTCCTGCACATCCTCTTAGCGCCAACAACTACCCATTCCCCAGCGTTACTTTGCTTCCTTCCACTCATCCCCATCTTCTGCTTTAAACTTGTCAATTCTTCTACAACATTAAAAACTTTTCAACAGTTGTATCATCTTGTAGAGGTTTCATCATCTCTTTCCTTTCTTCTTCATTATTTTATTTATATATGTGGCTGCACATTGTGTTTGGGTGCACAGAGGAGACAGGATAGACATCAAATCCAGAGTTATTAAGTTACAGGTAGTTATGTCATCTTCCTCATAGAGTTATTTATGGTGAAATAAGATGAAGTAAAATTTTTAAAAATATAAAACACATGAGTGATAATTTGGCATCACCTTTTTCTTTCACTTCTATTTTCTTTTCTATTTTATTTTTTTCTTTTAAAAGTATCTTGTTTTTATCATTTAAAATGGTTTTTAAATTTAAATATATTCTAATCATATTCTTCCACTCCAAGGCCTTCCAGATTCTTTCCCTCTCCTTACCTACCCAACTTTAAATTCTCAACTGGGGGCTTTCATCGACTTAACCACCAACGGAAGAGTGAGCATAAGCTGGACCTCCCTCCTACCCTTGCACATATGTAGCATATATGAGGCTTGGTCTTCATGCGGATCCACCAACGACTGGAGCAGGGGCTGTTCCCGAGTCTTGCCTGTCTGTGGATTGATCCTGTTCCCCTAACTGGGCTGTTTTGTCTGGCCTCAGTGGGAGAGGATGTGCTTAGTCCTGGAGTGACTTGGTGGGTGGGGAGGTGGAAGTTGGGGGTGATACAACGACGCCCCAGTCTCAGAGGAGAAGAGGAAGGGGAATGGGGAGAAGAGCTTTTTAAAGGGGTACTGGGAGAAGAGGGTGCTGGTATTGGGATGTGAAATGAATGAATGAATGATGAAGAAAAAAGGAAAAAATCTTTCAAAACATCTCTCAAAAAACAAGAACCCAATACGACAAACCCCCTAAACCAAGAAAGATAGAATTCCCCCCACACACACACCCAAAAGCACCACCAAATCAAAGCACTCTAAACAACTGAAGTCTGACCCTAGAGGCATTGCAGGTGTGGCTGCTGTATCACAAGTGTGTCAGTGGGTGGCAAAGAGGAGAAAGCCTTAGTCTACACTTTGTGTTCTGACCTATGGACATCTGAATAATTAGTAGCCTAATATTCCTTGAAAAAAGTCGAGCCTGAGATGACCATTCTGGCACCAGGAGATCAAGATGGACTTCTAGGGTGGGGAGCAAACCAGAAACTAGAACAACCCTGCCTGGGACTGTGGGACCCTGGAGGGAGTTATCTCAAGTCAGCATGGGGGCCACTCGGAGAAAGAAGGGGAAGGGGGAGAAAGGAGAAGGGACAAGAGGACAGAGCCAGAACAACAAGGCAAGAGAGCAAGAACCCTCCCGTTCTTTTAAGTTTAGATGATGTTACAACTGAGGAAAAATTTAAACTCCATAGTTATACATGGCTTCTTTTGACTTTAAAAATCATTGAAATAGGATGGTTGTGAAATTGTTCAGTTAGGAAAATGTTTGGCATGAAACTTCGAAGAATGAGTTTAGACCCCCAGCACCCCTCCCCCAAAGAAAGGTAAACATAAAATCATGTGCCTGTAATCCCAGCACTGGGGCAGTGGAGACTGGAGGATCCCTGGAGTTTGCTGGCCAGCCAGACTAGCCATTTGGTGAACTTCAGGTTCAATGGGAGACCATATCTCAGAAAATAGGAGTAAGATCAACCGAGGAAGACACCTGGCATCAGTTTCTGCCGTGCACATACACAGGCACACATATACATTTGCATACACACAGATTCACATACAACAATCACTACCTTTGGAGGTTACAGCTGATCAGCCTGTTTCTAACTTTTGGGTAATATTTCCACTCAGTTCTGTAGGTAGTCCTGTTAATCATTTATGAAATTTTGTCTGAGACATTAATAGATTGACTTCCTCCATACTGAACTAATTCTTTCCTTTTTCCAAAACTGAAGACACCAACGTGATGATAAGATATGTTCAGATTTAGATCATGTTCATGATCTACAGGTAATTGGCTAGAAGGTTCCATGGGTCTTGTTCCAGAGAATCATGGCAGTGCCTAGAAGTTTTTAGTGATCAGTTCTTCCCTAACCTAAGCCTGCCTTTTGGCCCTTTATGTAGGGGAAAAAGAGCTTGAAACCTCAACTTGCTATGTTGCCAAGGAAGACCTCAAGTCTGATACGCCTACATCCACTCTCCTAGTGCAGGGACAGATAGCTGGGTACCACCATACTCAATGTTTCCCATGCTGGGTCTGAACCAAGGGCGTCCTGCCCATTAGACAATCCCTCTACCGAGCTGTGTTACCAGGCTCTAAATCATTCTTTCCCTCTTGTCCCAACCACTTGTTCTCAGGTCTTTACCATTTTTTTGTTGTTATTTTGCTTATTAAAATTTATTTTATTTTTTTAGACAGGATCTAACTATGTAACTCTGGCCGACCTGGAACCCACTATGATGACCAGGTTGGTCTAAAGTGCTGGAATTAAATGTATGCACCATCATGCCAAGCTTTCTAGTGTTTCTGAGTGACAATGTTTTACATCTAGCTAGTGAGAGCATAATAAATCAGATTCTGTATTCTGTGGTTTAAATGTATTAATTTATTCATTCTTAGAACTAGTTTCTTTTATAATTAAAAATTTCTTCCCTAAGGATATTGATGGTTCCTTTTTAGCTAATGGGTTTTAATCATTAATATTTTGTATAATAAATTATAGTTGGATATATGTATGGATATAATTTGATATCTTTTTTTTTAGATAGGGTTTCTCTGTGTAATCCTGGCTGTCCTGGAACTCACTCTGTAGAACAGGATGGCCTTGAATTCAGAGATCCGCCTGCCTCTGCTTCCTCAGTGTTGGAATTAATGGTGTCTACCACCATTGGTTGGCCAATAATTTGATATCTTGATATATTTACACATTGTGGAATTGTTTAAACCCAGCAAAGAGATATTTATTTTCTGGCTGACCCATATTATTTTTATGGTAAGACTTCTGAAGTTTATTTTCCCATTTCAAAATGAATTATCTGTCACCATTGACTGTAGTCATGCTGCTGTGCAGTAGATCTTAAAATATCACTTTGTCTATCCAAAATCCTACGATCAGCTCTTCATCTCCCTGTCCCCTGTCCCAGGGTTTGGAAACCCCCATTCACATCTCTTGTATACAAATATAACTGTGATCATACATTTCTCCAGTATTGCAAATAAAGCCAAACCTTTTAAATAGATAAATTATATTTAGAATTTGAAGTATTCCTCATATGGATTATTAGAAATTGTGTGTGCGTGTGTGTGTATGTGTGTGATTATATGCAGAGGTGTGGATGCACATTATGTATGCATATGTGTTTGAGGAGGCCAGAGAACAGCTTTAAGTATTATTCCTCAAGAATGATCCACTTTGTTTTTGGGGTAGAGTCCCTGCATTAGACCTGGTGTTTGCCTTTTAATCTAGCCTGTCTAGCTAGGGAGTGCAGGAATCTGCCTTCCTCTGCTTCCCCATACTGGATTACAACAAACAACACCTTACTTTGCCTCCTATGATGATTCCCTGGCAATTATTTTACCATCTGTACCATCTCTCCAGCCTCTCCATGTTGATCAAAAGTTAGGCAGCTTTAGCATGATAAAACATTTCACACATTTGTTCCAAAAATGTGCACGGATTTATAACCCTTGAGTATTGAAATGTCTGCTATCAACAAAAACTATTTACCTATTTAATAAGAAACAGATCATAGTTCACCTAAGATGTATTTAGAGGTTTGGATCTGTGTTAGAGTGATTGGCTAGCGTGTGAGTTTGATTACATTTCTATACTTGAGAATTTTGTGTTTTATTTCTTGATAGTGAGGTATTTAAATTTTTTGATTTGTATGAGCTTGTGTGCTTTTTTTTTAATCACTGAGTTTTCTAGTTATGACATGTTATTTTGAAAGATGAATAAAGGACCAAAGGTTGCAAGCATGGCAGAGGGGATCCAAAGAGAGATCATAGGAATTTCCCCTACTGAGATTTTTATGAAAGAGGAAACTATTCACCAGTCATCAGATTGGCCACCCTTGGGCTGTAACTACAGCAGTGTGCTACCCTAAGAATGATTATGGCCACTCTTTTGGTATTTTTGGTACATAGCCTTTCATTCCACTGTTGGAAGCATTAGCACTGTCAGCTGAAGCAGGGTTATTAGTAACAGTGTCACTCACAATTGCCATGTGAAAATCTTAGTGTCTCAAGATAGAGTGACAGTCATTGTTTCCTGTGGTTCTTTTGTTACCTGATGGGGTAAGAGAAATGTGCAGCAGCAGAAGTCTTAAATGACACTCTCAGACTCCTTACATTACAGAGGAATCTACTGCCAATGGCTCAGGAGGTTTTATGGCTTATACCAGCTCATAAAGTCAAGCTCACACCTTGAGATCCAGTTAGAGATCTCAGGAGTTCATAACTTAAAGATAATGATGGAGTCTAAGCTGACATAAACTTCTTAAAATAGAGAAATACCATTTTTATAAACTTTTAATTTAAGAAGAATATAAACAATGAATCATCACAAAATCAACACACTCATATAATATTCTGAAATAGAATGTTGCCAAGAATCCAGAAACTCCACCCCTATGGCTAAAAACTATTTTGATGCCCAGAGCAATAGCGATATCTTCAGTATTATCTACATACCATTTATATTCATATTGAAACTAAACTTAAAATGTATTTTGTTCACAATTTTGAGGCAGACATTGTACCAGTGGTTTTACATTCACCTTTCTCAATTTATATTCTTTTTATTCTTTTTTTCTGTTCTCTTCCCAAGAAGAGGACCTATTGACTTACTACAGTATAAGAATTTTGAGAGTGTTCACCATGATTGTGGAACAGCATAAGGGTATCTTGGTTCTTGGCTGGGCATGGGCCTGGAACCCCAAGACTCCAAGAGAGAAACGGCGTGTGTTTGGCCATGTCCCCAGAACCCAGGGTTCTGACATGCAGTCTAGTCTCCACGGACCTACATTGTTCAGTCACGTAGGCCATTACAGCCCCTCCCAAAGTGCACAGGTAGAGGGCATGGCTACAGGCCTCAGGCCCTAGAGAGATTTACATACTAATGAAGGCCAGAGGGTGGAGCCAATTAAGCATTCTTCACCAGACCCTCCCCACCTTTTCCCTCTCTATTTAACTCAGGTCTGCCCTGAGTTTCACGGGGCTACATCTGGATCCATCTACCATCCGACATGAAAATAAACCCTTTTGGAACCAAGGACTTTCTTGTGTCAGTTGGGGCTGCGTCATGAGGAATCGTGCAGAAGGCCTTTAATGAGCCGCTATAGCTGCAACCGCTGCACGTAACTTCCTACCTGGAGGAACTTTCTGCGTTTCCAGCCACCCTACCCACATATGATGATTCTGCTACTAGAATTATGATCATTGTTCCTGTCAGTACTCTAGGGTCTTTTGAGAAATGCTACTACCAGTGTTGGGTATGGTGGCACACATCTGTAATCCTGTCACTAGGGTGGCTAAGGCAAGAGGATCAAGAATTCAAGGCCAGTATGTACTACATGGTGAGATCCTGTTTCAAAACTAAATAGATGAATACCCCTCAAAACCTATAAAATAACATTAGAAGAACTATGACAATTATATTTTCTATTGTAGATTTTGTTCTGCTACTATCAGTAAGAATGCCAAACTTGGTACCATTTTGGCCAAGTAGACATTTTTAGTGTCTATTTTGTTGAATAGACATTTTTCTGTAAATGAAATTTAACACATTTTTGTGTGTTTCTATTTTTTTAGACCTTGCATAAAAATTGTGGTCAAATCACTTGAGGAAAAAGAAATCCCTAAATATTTGGATTTTCTAGAATTTCTTTGTTGGCTAATCTTTAAAACTCCTTATACCTCTAAGTCTTGTAATCATTCACTGAGCAAACTTTGTATTAGAGCCCTTAGGCTATAATGATTCAAGATATCTGCTTTTCTACCCTACTTGATAATAGATTACATGACAATTAACACTTTGGGGCAGACACAAATATGAGAGAGTAATGTTATTTTCTTTATTCTTGGTAATTAAATTCAGTGTAAAGTCACTGCTTCCAAATACATTCTGAAGCCCACCAGTGTATCACTCCTTCCCATCCTGGAATATAGTGCATTCTGTTGTTATTTGTTTGTTTGTTTGTTTGTTTTGCAACAGATTCCTTTTATATTCATTCTTGAGGGAAAAAGTTTATATACTTGGTTTTGTTGCTATTATTTTTATGAATTGGAAAAAAGCGCTTAATTCAGCCTGACCTAAATTTCTATTAGGTGATAACTATAAATTTCATAGACTCTGTCATTGGTTTTTGTTTCAAAATAAAGAATCCAGGAAATTAACCAGAATTTGTCACCAATAACCAGCATAGGTCATACTAGCTAAAGGATACATGAAATTTAGGTACATGTGGGTCAGTGAAGGTTTTAGAATATCATTTGCTAGATAAGATAAATTATTATATTAGTATTTCTCTTCTGTTGCTATCTTCAACTCATCTGGAATTCTGCAGATAGAAACAGAACTATTTTGAATGCTGATCTCAATATGAAACATAGAACCCACAGAATACACAAGTTTTGGTGAAATAACATTCAATAATCAGGCTGCTGTGAATCTTACATTAAAATTCAATTACATTTTAAAAATAGAGTAGTTATAGCTAGAAAAAAAATATTTTCAGAGGCAGCAGAAACCCTTGGTGGAAATGAACAGTCTACATAGAAAATCCAGGAAGTATGCAAACTAGACACCAGAATACTCAGTACATTGAATTTAATCAGAGAGTACACACAGGATATGACATAAAACAGCAGTTTACTAGAATAATTGTCATCTGGAACACATGAAAATAATTTAGAAAATGGACTAATGTCATACTCTCTGGCAATAGACTTCTTGGAAATATAGGCATAAAATCAGACAGACTTATGTGTCATCTGACTACCTTCCCTTGCCACCGAGCCAGCTTGAGTCAATAGTGTGGTATCTATATAAGCAGTAGACAAGTCACTGATCAGTAAACTAAATCTCTAGGGAGATCATTTTATAATAAAGCCATAGGTTAACTATTGATATTTGGTGCTTCAGAAGCAGAAGCACATCCCTTCCACTAGATGGTAACAGCACAGAGGTGCTTGTGGGACAGTTCTATGATTGCCGAAAATAACAACACTTGGGTTGTCATGAGTTATTCTTTTACTCAATGGCAGATGTACATTTAGACATATGACACTAGAAATTTTGAGATGGTAGAATGTTTAGGGAAATCCAAGTGCTCATCTGTATTTATGAAAGCAAAACCATGTTAGATTCATTTTTTAAAATTGATTTTACTGCCTGGCCTAAGCATGGACTTTCTTCTTCTCAATTATATGCTTACAAAAACTGTACATTACAAACAGTATAGAAACAAGCAGAAAAGAATGCGCCACACATCCTGAATAATTCTCTATATGCAGTAGAATTTACAGATATAAAAGAAAATACAGCCTACTCCTTTATAGCGCACAGTTATGGTTTTAGATACAATGTATCATTAGCAAGTGGTTGTGGCCACCAACTCTAGTTGTCCCCAGCAGAGAGAATAAGAGCAAGATCTGTTCGGTACAGCTTCCCTCCATCCGACAAGGCCATTATGTTCTTCTTGTATGTAGTAATATTGTTAACATCCAACTCCTGTATAGGACATAGATAGCATTGTAATCCAATTAAAGATGGACATTAATTAACCACTGGCCAGTGATAAAACTTGAGGAACTGCTTGCTACAGCAATCCATTAAGAGATCTTTTATTAATGCAAATAGTCATCAAGTCGTTTCTAAATCAAATCTGTCACAGTTTACTGATTTGTGTTGGACTCAATTCGAGTTAAGAATTCAAATCTACTCCTGTGTATTGAAAATTCTTTCAATATATTTCCACAACAGATGTATGGTTGTTTCTGGGCAATTCCCTAAAGTCTGCCTAAGAAATAACTGACATGACTACTAAATTACCTGTTTGTTCTTCTCGCACAGATCTTTCAGTAAAGCATCCAGTTCATTTTCATCTATGTATCCATTGCCATCCTGGGGGAGATGAAATGAAACAGTGTACATTAGAAGTAGCTAGAGCCCTCAGAAAAAAAGGTCCCCATTGGTGGGTACCCTAACCTGCTGTGTTGGGGTAGAGCCCTTAACAGTTCCAAAATAGGTGAGCTTACATTTGTGAACCAGATTGAAAATTTCAAAGTATGCTCACATTTACTATTTCACTTTATGTTTGAAGTATCTTCCATGGGAATAAATAAGTAAAACCAAATGTATTCCTACAACAAAGGAGAACACTGTAGCTTGGGGAAGCAGTGGTTGGTTTAATGTCACTCCAGTGGGCCACAGTTACATAGAGTCAAGGTCCAAGAATAGAGAAATTAGAAGCCAAAAGCATGAACTAACAAACTCACATCTAATCTTTCCTTATATATGAAGTTCTAATCTTTTTTTAATGTGAGATACTTCCGTGGAATGTCTTCTCTAGCTTAGTTTTCATTTAACTCTGCCAGGGAATACCATTATTATTTTCTATTTACAAACAAGATTGTGGCTCAGAGGGTTTAGGTTCTTTATTCAGAGCCTCACAGTGGCATGGCTTAGGCTAGTATATCATGTAATGTGAGATATACTATGCATGTTTTCTGTTGAATGACTTGGTTGTGTAATTTCAGCTGCCCATACTTTTTAAAAATTGTGAACCTTTAGTTTGAGGCTTCTATTTTCTTTGGTGAGTGCTTTCCAGATTTTCCCCAGGGTGAAATTGTAGACCAGAAAAAATTGAGTAGAAAGTAATAATATGATTTTTAAATGTAGAACATTCTGAATATAAAACATGTTGGTGGACTGGCGAGATGGCTCAGCGGTTAACAGCACCGACTGCTCTTCCAGAGGTCCCGAGTTCAATTCCCAGCCACCATGTGGTGGCTCACAACCATCTGTAATGGGATCCGAAGCACTCTTCTAGTGTGTGTCTAAAGATAGCTGCAGTGTACTCATATCAATAAAAATAAATCTTTAAAAAAACATGTTGGCATTAATAAGCAAATTTAGTAAAATCATAAGATATAAAAATCTACATCTAAAAATAATGTTCTGTTTCAGAACAGATATTAAAATCCTTTTGTAATAGTACTAAAAATAGAATAAATGGCTTAAGAGTAAACTTAGCAATGAAAGTAAAACACATGTATACTGGCAGTTGTAAAGCTCTGGTGAAAGATACCAAAGACACAAGCCAATGGAGAAGCACCTGTGCTTATGGATTGGAAGACTTAATCTTGTTAAAGTGTTCATATTATTTAATTCTAAAGATCAATGTAATCCCTTTCCAAACTCCAATGGTATTTTAGGAAGAAATATAAAAGATACAACTAAAATAATATATAATCTCAAAAGACCCAAAGCTGAAATAGTTTAGAGGGAAAAAAAAAGGATGAAAATAAAGGTGTCAGACTGGTAAGATGGCACAGCGACTAAGACATGTTGTGGTGTACTTTCCTGCACAAATGAACGAACAAACAAACATATAAACAAACATGAAAAAAGCACCAGAAGTTTCTGATTTCAAAATAAAGTACTCGATTACAGTAACCAAAACAGTATGGTATTTACTTAGAGACTGATACAGAGATGAATAGAGACAATAGAGATGAATAGAATAGAATAGAATAGAATAGAATAGAATAGAATAGAATAGAATAGAATAGAATAGAATAGAATAGAACAGAACAGAATAGAATATTAGTTTTGGAATTTGTCCACATGCATAGAATCAACTGATCTTTCTCTAGGAGGCTGAGTAGAAGGACAGGGTAGTCTCTTCAGCAAAAAGTATGAGGAAAACTGTATCCACATGCAAAAGGGGGAAAACCTGGACCCCTGTTTTTTTAATCTGGGCAAAATTAACATAATGCAAATATTGAAATCATGAAGATATAAAACTCCTAGAGCCAAGTATGATGATACACACCTTTAATCTTAGCTCTAAGGAGGCATAAGAAATGGATCTGTGAGTTCAAGGCCAGCCTGGTTAATATAGTGAATGTCAGGCCAGCCAGCATGAGACCTTGTGTCAAAACCAAAGCCTAAAACAGACAGCAAAACATATAAAATCGGTAGAAAGTTCATGGTACTGGTCTTCACAGTGAGCTTGTATGTTATGAGCACAGAGTACAAACTACAGAAAGACAGTGGAGCTCAGCATAGATGTTGCAAAGAACCATCTAGGGTAAAGTCAGCCTGCAGACAGGAGAAGATATTTGCAGACAATTTATCAGGTAAGGCACCTAAAGGAATGCAATATTAAAAGATGTAAGGAATATCTGTCTTTAATCAACATAAAACTAATTTGATTTAAAAATGGGCTAAAATGTGAATAGATACTTCTCCAAAAATATGATATAAATGGCTAATCAGTTTATGAAAAGGTGATCAGTGTTACTATTCATCACAGAAATGCAAATGAAAACAAATGAGGTATCATTTTACAGCTGCAAGAATGACTATTACCATACAAGTAAAGGAAGTAAGTGTTGGTGAGGATATGAATAAACTGGAAACATGTGCACACTGTTAATAGAAAATCAAAATGGTACAGCAATATTGATACACCAACAAATTAAAAAATACAACTAACATGATATAAAACATCACAGTTTTGTTCTTTTATCCAAAAGTTCAGGATCTCTTATAGGTATTAACATTCCATGTTCATTCAGTGTTTTCACAATAGTGAAGGTGTGGAAACAGCCTAATTGAAAAAAATATATATATCTGTGTGTGTATACACACACATATATAGATATATATATATATGTTTGTATGGAGATCATAAATACATATATAGCACAATATTATTCTGCATTTAAAAAGGATACTCTGTAATATATTATAATGTCAGTGAACCTTGAGAACAACAAGGCGAAATAAGCTTGTTAGAGGTGGATTCTTATACAATGTTTCTAAAATAGTGAAACTCTTGGAAGCAACAGACTAGTGGATTTCAGGGAAGGGGAAACAGAGAAAATGGGAAGTCAGCAATGAGTGTCCAGTTTCAAATGTGTAAGGTGAGTTTTAAATAACTGCCGTACAATCTTTCTCCTATAGCTAATAATACATGTCTTGAAACTACAAGAGAATAGATTTCACGTTAAATTGTTTTCATAATACTTTTTTAAAGAAAAAAAGGAAAAAAATGCTTTTACCTGATCATATAACTCAAAAGCCTTATTGAACTCTTTCCCACACATTTTGATTCCCTAAGGAGTCAGAAGAGAGGTTCAGTCAAAAAGTGATAATGTATTTCAGCTTGTTTCTCTTGACAAACCTGGGTTTTTAAGGAAAATATAGAGAAAAGCCAACTACCTGAAATTTAAGAAGGAAATTTTCCTGCACTGGTAGTAACCTGTTGAGAGAGAGAGAGAGAAAAAAAAACATTATGTTAATTGGTTGGAATTTTAGATGAGGTTCTGTTTATTCTAATAACATCTGCGTAATTCTGAAACTTACCTGGCCATCTCTGTCAGTTCCAGCTTTCCATCATTATTTGAATCGAATAGTTTCAGCTGAAAGGCATTGTTATTGTTTGGGACACTGAGTTATACATTATTGAATGAAGGAGACAAACATTCAAAAGTCAAATATCTTGAGTGCCTGCAATGTACGTGCTCTAATACTGAACTACAGCCCCAGCATGTTTTTTAAAGGGTTGCTTTTAAAGCACAAAATTCAACAAGAGCAGTAAATGGATAACAAGACTAAGATATTTTGAATAATCTCAAATTATTTAATTTTCATTGGGTACTTAACAATATTTTCTAACTCACTGTTGCAATTAAATATCACATACTGAGATGCACTCAGACATAAACACATATACTTATTCGGGAAACATTCACATATTTTAGAAAGCAGTGAATATTGCTATAATGAAGGTAATGTCATACTAAATTTGCCAAGTGTAGCATTTTAAAATATATTTGAGAAAAAGTCCATGTTAAAGACAGTGTTTAGAAGTTTAAAGAGTTCTTTTTAAATGAAAAAGAAAAGTTTGAGTTGATCTAAGGATTCTTTTCTGGAAGTTACAACTTTTTTCAGGGTTCTGTACTGACACAGCATTTTACAATCTACTGACGTAAATTTTAATATTGTTATACTGTCTACCAAGATACTGGACAACTAGATCACAGAGTTTAGTGCCCATAGGGAAATGTTTCCTCACCTATATATTTAAATTTTAATTAGTTCTTGATTAATTGCTTCCTGGATTGGAACTGGTTTATGACATTTAATCAGTTCTACTGGGCCAGACCAACAGGGGGAAGCTCCCATCTGAAGCTCCCAGCTTCAGAATCCTACCTGTGTAAAGGCGACTTTACTTTAAATAGAATCCCTTAAGATGGAGACAAATGAGAAAATTGATAAATGTAGGTTATTGTCCACTCCCCAAAGACAGAACCAAAGACAGCTTAGGTCTTGCCTTCATGATGCAGCAAGAACATCTCCCACCTGTTTGATGCTACAGAAGCAGATGGAACTGTACCGAGGGGTTAAAACACTGCAAGTAAACGTCAGCAGCACTGACCAGAATAGAAACCTCTAGAGGATCGTTTCTCAGGGTATCCCAAATCAGATGTAGCACAGGAGTAATGGCTTATCATTTATTTACTTAACCCACGGGGTAAGAACTCATAACTTTTCAGAATGTAGAGAAAACACAAGCATATCTATTGTTTGGATCTGTTAACCCTAGGATGAGTCAAGATGAGTGAACCACCTATTTGAGACAAGTAACTTCACGCATGTTTATTTTCTCTAGAACCTCAGTAATTGATTTGCATTAGACATCTTTGTTTAAAGAAGTTTTGTGACTGTATTATTCAACTTTTATAACAAGTACTGTTTATACAATTACTAAAACATCGTGTAAGGTGTGTTTGCATCTGCTCATTCATAGCACGGATAAAATATTTTAAAATAATAAAAACCAAAGGATAAAAACAAATTTAAAGTAATTTAATGAATAAAGTAATCATCCGTTCTTAAACTCTCGAAAACTCTGTGGTTTTCTAAACTATGGCAACAGTAAGTTCAGAATTTCTATGACCAAAGGGTAATGTCACTTATATTCTATGTACAGATATAACATGTATAAGCTATATAAGCTATATATACAATTACTCTGCCTTTAAAGAGAGGCCATCTTTTGAGAGATAAGTGTGACACAGCTTCATTAGAAGTGCTCATTTGTGGTCATGTGATGTGCAAGCTGCGGTTTATTTATTCCATCCCAGGTATTCTCCTAGACTTAGCAAAACCACAGACAATATGCTCATTGAGTTCTTGTCCAAATCTTTTCTAGTTTAGTCTTACCATGAGGTCCGTGTACTCAGCTAGTTTTGTATCATCCACGGTCTTGTTTGCTTTCTCTAGTAGGTCCTTTAGAAAGTTCTGTTGAAAAAAAAAAAAGAGCACTCAGAAAATTTCATTGATAATATGTATTTTGCAACAGAGTATACCTGGATGAATGCAAAGAAAACCTCTATGGTAGAGCCGGGTGAGGAGAGGACTCTGAAAGTCAGGTGGTCATTGTGACATCCCAAAATGAAGCGACTTGTGACAGGCACAACACTTTCCTCTTCCTGAGACCCAGTGTGTCACAGTCAGAGTTATGTTGTGCTCTTATGATTATAATTAAAGGAGAGTGTGGACTGTGTAATGTAAAAGAATTGCAATTAAAACTTAAAGCATCACCACAATGGATGCTTCTCTTCACCTGTGTTCACCCAATCTTCCTGATAGAAGTATAAGGTACCATCTCTGTACCTCTCTAACCTGTGTGAAGAATGTTCAGCAATCTGAATGGAAATATGATGCTAATTTAAATGTATTTCCTGCCACATCCTGGGACATATTTGCCTATATGTCTGCAGTGAGTGTCCATTCCCCAGACAGCCTGGTGGTTAGCTCTTAAGCATCACAGTATGCACAGAGTCTTGTTCCAATGCTTCCGCTGACTGTACAAAGTACAACAGTTGGTAACATCGAATTCTTGAGGGACATATGAATCATAATTTAACGGAGATTAATGTGGGAAGGGTGCAAATGACTATTAACAGTTGGAACTTGGGAGCAAGTTTAATTTTTGTTTTACAGAGATAAAAATTAAATAAAAGCTTTGCCAAAGCTTGCTATACAAATGTCAATGTGAATTCTGAGGGATGTAATAGCCTTTCGTTTCCTGTATGAATGTTCATTTGCCACTCTTTCTTTTCCTCAGAAAATGAATTAATGCAGCTATGGAAACTGAGCAGACCTGTGTCCAGAAAGACCTGGAGGGCTGTGTTTCGTTGGCATCTTTGACCGTGTTCCAGCTCCTTCCTTAAAGAGAACAATCTCTGCTGGGTAGACTTTATTTTTTTTTTTTTTTCCGAGGAAGGGCTGCTTCCTGGTGTGATGCATTTATTTTCTCTTCGAACATTCTGCTTCAGATCCACAGTGAAATCCATAGAAAATTCAGTTATCTGGTGGCGGTGAGATTTATTTTTGAGCTTTCTGAAGCTTTTTTTTTTGTCATAGATTAATTGGGTTAAATAAAAAGTCTCATCAGACAGTGAAATGGTGGTCACAAAAATAGCCTTGGAGAAACCTTGGGACACTAGGATTCAAAGTCATATCTGAGAGCAAGTGAAGTTTTACTCGATTATGAATCTTAAAATTAGCTTTCTTTCCTTAAAATTAGCTTTCTTGAATTACCCATTAAAAAAGAATGCCAATGTGTCTTTAAAATTCTCCAGGGAACGGGACTGCTATTTAGAATTTCCTTTCTCAGGATAAAATTTAGAACAAAGAATGAGACTCTGAGAATATTTTGAGGTCAGTATTGAAGTGAGCTAAAGTTTTTATTTTATACTGTGATAGTTTAGTCTAAAAGAATAAAACCACAATAGCTTCCCTGGCAGCTTGTGGACTTCAGCTACAGAGCAGTGTTTCTAAAAGACGTTGCTTTCAGGAACTTTATGTTAAAATTGTTGGCGCTCTAAAGAGGCTGCAGCTGAATCTGTTATAGCAATTTTACAGTGGTTCAAATGAACCAGTCTAATCTCTAAACTTCTATCCTTCTTAAATCATGTTGGCAGATGATTAGGAAAACAATGCACCCGTTTTCCTACATAGCAGAGCAGAAGCAGCTCACAGTGGGTGAAGCTTGAGGCACATGGTGCCATAGAAAAAACCATGTTTATTGATGTTAGCAGACACTCTAGGACCAAGCCTAGGTTCCATTCCTAGGCAGCTGTGTCATTTTGAAAAGTTCCCCAGCCATTCTGAGCTTCTGTCTCTCCATACACTGGGAGTCATAATAAACCACCTGGCAAATTTTCTGAAGAATAAAACCTGAGATTTAATTCAGATGCAGTACTATGTCTGTGACATAGAAGGCACATGCTCTCAACAATATTCACTTGCTTCCTTTTTAAAAATTAAAAAAAATGTATTTGCGTGTGCATGTGTCAGTGTGACCATACACAGGTGCTATGACACATATGTGCAGATCAGAGGATGATTCTCCTTCCACCATTTAGGGCTTAGGAGATCAAAGTCAAGTTGTCAGGCTTGTCAGTGCCTTAACCCCTGAGCCATCCCACTAGCCCTTGCTACCACTAATCACTCTATTCTGAAGTTAGAGGACGTAGGGCCTTTCTGGCTAAGAAATCTTCCAGTTGGCTGGAGGAAATGAGGTAGAAGATTTGCTCCTGTTCCTGAATTGAGTGTAATATTCTTCGTTATGCTTTCTATTTAATAGAACAGTGTGCAGCATCATACTTGGACTCCATATTATACCTGATACTGCGGTATTGCTACTCTTGCTTTGAAGATGGGAAACAGTAGAATCACATGGAGATTTGTCCTGAGGTTACATTTGATTCAGACTGATTTTCCTTATATCTCTCCGTCATGTGTCTTCTCATCACTGAAGAATTCTATCATGTGATGTACGAACTGATGGCTTTATTTTCAAAATTTTAGTTTTCCACAGTTTGTATAATTCATGTTGTTGATAGGCAGCAGGTTATATGGTGTATCTGAGGCCTTTGATGAGGATGGTTCTGGGGTTAAACATTACAACTCTGTGTCTCCTTTCTGTAGGGTTTTCAGCAGGTTTCTCAATGTTTTACAGGCCTTTTGTCTCTGGGCTGATGCTTATCTCACATAGTAGATGCAAAGATGAAATAAATATGCATAAGGTACAACACGGGTCTCTGTCGTTTGTCTCTTTGAAAGAGAAACCTATTTAGGTGTTCAATTTATAAAATAAAAATTCATGCTGGAGAGATGGCTCAGCCATTAAAAGCTGAGCTCACAATCAAAAATGTAAACTGAAATTTCAAATTTCCACAGAGAGTGGTAGGGTACTTAGCTGGCATAGTTAGCTACTTCTAGCTATCTGTCTCTGTATGGATGACAAGCACTCATCTATCTTATGTAACAATGTCGGTACAGTACAGAAGACGCTAATCTCTCACACAGATGAACAGAATCTCAAGAAGCACTTGAAGTCTGTCTTTCGATCTGGTGTTTCACTAATGATGTAAAGAGTGGGTGCAAATGTGCCACGGCTCAACATAAGTTTCTTTTGTATGAGGTTGGTTTTTTTTTTTAGGCTACTAATCCCCTTAGCAGCTCCTGATTGCATCTGGAAGGAGTCTGCTGAGTCTCAGCTTTGGTCCACTCACCTTAAGTTCCTCCGTTTCTATGAAGCCACTGTGGTCAGTATCATACTTTCTCCAAGTCTGCAAGAAATATGGAGATGGAAACCGGATTTAAATAAACCAATAAAACCCAACAATTCCCTTACTCCCAGCATCTTTCTTACAGGGGGGAGGATTTTTACCTTCATGAATTCCTCACAGGACTTCAGTTGCTGGCATCGAAAGAGCAGCAGGAAATTCTCTTCTGTGGGTAAGACATGAGCCAACTGGAAAAGATGGAAAAACAGACATGAGGAGCCTGGAAAGGGCCCATGCCATCACTTGCTGCTTTGGTTTCGCTTCAGCATGCTCAGTGAGCAACTCTGTTGCCTGAGAAAGTAGGAGCAGATAAATATCAGCTGTCTAGGAGAAGAGAGGACACAGTTCACTTTCCCTGTCTGGTACTTTGCTTCTGCAAAATTCAGAGGTGCATTTCAGTATCTATGGCCCTGAGGACCTCCATGCCTAATAGAAGAGATGGCTGTACTGGACCGCATCTGATCTGCTGCACACACATGCATATGCATCCTGAATAACCTGTAAGCTACCAATCAGGTCTTGGTCCTTTTCGGGTGCACAGGATGGAACACAGCATGGCAATAAATTTCATGTGAAATGAGAAATTCTGAGATACATGCATAAAGGTGAAAGGAAGGAAGAAAAAATTATATCCATGTCTAATTCTGAAGAGAAACATAATGGAAAGGGGACAAAGACAACTGTAGAACAGTAGAAAGAGGTAGAAAGGCACATCTCCATAAAGAGAGGAAACCTGACAGTATCAACGAACACCCTTAAACAGTGGCCTCTGCTTGAATCTGGGGCTCAAGTTAATTTTTGATCTCCACTGCATGATTCTGTGACATTCTCCCTTAGATCTCATTCTATAATCTAACACCTCTTCCTCTGTTTCTCCTCCTTTTCCTCCCTCTCCCCCTCCTTCCCTCCTTCCCCTGTTCTCTGCCCTTCCTCTCTCTCTTGAGGAGTAAGGAGCCACAGATACCATTTTAAGACTAATATAATCTATTGCTTGTAGAGAAGGAGGGAGCTGGATTGATGGCCCCACTGCTGATGTGACTTCTATTTCTGGCTCTGCTGCTAATGAGCTGTGGTCCCCAGCAACTTCCCTAGCTGCATTGGCCCTCAGTACCTTCACCACGAGAAAATGAAGGTGAGGAGAAATGACTGCCCTAGGCTCAAAATATGTGCTGTGGAATTACTGACCCTTCATCATTAAAGAATAAACCTTCACATACAACATTCAACTGATTTTCAGCAGTGGTTAAATGCCCTGAAGTACAGACATGACCCCTTAGCCTTGAAATATCTAGATCAGAGTTACTTAAATTTCTCCCATTCATAGTCTCTTTGCTCCTGAGAATGTTTTAAGTGACCCTAGGTAAGCATAACATAAATATATAAACAAAACAGTTACCGATAATAAACCATAACAAGTTAGTTTAAAATCATTCTTTTATATAATTTTACCATTTCTTAAAGATGAACTTAAATTGTTTTTATGTAAAGGCTAAATCTTGGCTGGATGTTTGATACTGCAGAATGCAGAACATCTTCAGTCTCTCAGAACTCATCTGTCTGTAGCAATTCCTTAAAGTACAATAAAATTGTCAGTGCGGTGAACAGTATTTTATAAAGATATATAGTATGAAATGACACAATCATGTTTTTTCAACATCACAGAAATTGTTGAAGATTCTGTCCTAAACGCAGGCCAGAATTCATCCAACAAATTTTTGTGAAACTCAATTCAACAGTTCTAAGAGAACATTTTGAAATCGAACATTGTAATACAATACAGAGATACACGAATTTGATGCATGTTTTGGAAAGACAGAAGGAAGATATTAGAAGTCTTTGCTTCCCATAATTAAACTATTATGTTTATCCAAGAGCAGAAAACTTCACATGTTGAGTATAACGACTGAAATTCACAGCACGTCACAGTGATAGCTGGGGTGTTTTGGGCAGTGCTTGCTGCTGTTGCATGGAATGATGCATGTGTGGTGCCAGGTGAACACGTGCGCTCAGCACCTAGGGTGCAGTGATGCCATGCATGGCAAGTGCGCCAGAACACCTGGGGTTCATTATGCTTTTAATTTTGAATTAATTATTTTTTTTATGTGAATTCAGAAAACTTTTACTGTTGCCAAATTGTGATCTCTATGGGTCGTTATCTGCAGTTTATGAAGCTGGGATTGAAATTAATATTAAGGTCATAAGATGTCCTAAGTGCTCAACCAAGTAATGGGCAAGATCATCATGCCCATTTAAACGTCTTCCAAACTTTTAGGCCCATTAAGGTTTGAAGTTTAATGTAAAATGCCATTTCCCTTTATGGGCACATGAATTGTATATGTCCTTTAAATTATCTTGCTTTTCAATCTTTGAAAAATGGCTGGAATTTCAATTATGTTCATAGCCTTTAAATATGGTATATGGTAAAATAATGTAAAAGACAAAAACAAATAAATCTTGTTATAATATTGAGTAGTGATCCAGTCAGAGAATATCTTAACTAGAAGCAAAGGCCACTAGTCTGGGTACATGATAACTAGTGTGGAGATACACATATATATGCATATATATATAATGTGTAGGTGATAACACATCTAAAAGAAGAGAATAGGGCTTTAGAATAATTTTAGAAATTAAATCAGGTTTTGGTCCATAAATATATTTATATAACTGTAGTGTGAGATTATATATAAATATAATATATAATATACAAAGTAATACATAGTATTATATATATATTTCAGGCAGCTCATTACAACATTCAGGTCTTATCTGTATAGTTAATTTCTTTACCCATAAAATTCTGCCCCTTAGAAATAATACAGTTCAATATAATTCAAACATTTGAATTGAGATACAAATTGAATGATCTGATCTGGTGACTTGCAGACTCTGAAACTCAGTTATATCTTATGGTTGTTAAGAAATTAAGTCTGCAACACACTTCTTGCTTATGACAGTAGGATGAGTTGGTTGCTCCTTCACTCTTGGAATGCAAACAACACATTTGTTGGTGATTGCTACCAGTGGCCATGAGAAGCTGTGCTTCTTTCCACTCAGGAAAATCTAGAACTCATCTTCCTTATGAGGTTTTTTTCCTCTGAACCTGTATGTGGGCCACTAGTAGAAAGTGGTTATAAATGATTTTCATTATTAAAGAAGCATGAGTTAGGCCCAGAAAGCAGGTCTCCACTGAAGCTATGGGGGAAGAGAAGAGAAGAGAGGAGAGGAGAGGAGAGGAGAGGAGAGGAGAGGAGAGGAGAGGAGAGGAGAGGAGAGGAGAGGAGAGGAGAAGAGAAGAGAAGAGATGAGAAGAGAGAGAGGACGAACTGTGGGCATAGAGCAGGTCTTCAAAGAGAGAAGAAACAACCACACGCCTAAAGCCCAGTGTAGAATACTGAAGGCATTCTGCAGAATGCTTCTTTTATAACTTCAAATGATGCGAGGAGGGAGGAAAGATTTGTCCAGGAGAGAGGTGAGAACAAAGAAGCAACAAAATTGAGATCCTAGGTCTTAAAGAACGAGGAAATAGGCCAGTGATGAGACAAGTTGACCAATGGAACTTGGTAAGTGTACATGTTAGGAGGTTTTATGTAAAGATGGAAGTCTGTCCATGTTATGTCACAGCTATGATTAACATATGCACTCATGTATGAAAATAGAAGTAACAAATCTCAACTGTTTACTTAATAGTATGTAACTTTAAATGTTTTGAGGGGTTCTTTCCCAGGTCACTTCAAGAACTCAGAAAGCGTTTTTGTCTGCATTTTATGCCCATCCAGAGTCAACAGAGACCAGCTTATCAGGTGCATAGGATACATGCTTGTGATTTTCTTGATGATTTTTTTTAAAAAATTAGAAATACTTCATTGACATGATATAGAGTCAACATCCTCTACTAATATAATTTTCTATATTGCTTGAATTTCATAGAATATATGTTATCCTAAACTAAAAAAATAGTGATTTCTCTTAAAAAATATACTTCTGAAAATCCACCAACTATTTAAACATTGAAAAAGTAAAAGAATACACTAATTAGTAATGATTAGATATAAGGTTAAGGAAATTCACTTATCTTTGTGTTACAAAGGTTATGTAACTCAAAGATCAGAGAGTTCTAGAATGTCACATATAAAGAGAGTCATAGTCCTTCTGTTCTTCCTCCTTCTCTTCCTCTTTCTCCTTTTCTTCTTTCTCTAACATTTCCCCCTCTCCTTCTCCTTTTTGGCTTTCCTAGACAAAGTTTCTTTGTTTAGTTCTCGAACTTAGAGATCCACTTGCTCAGCCTCCAGAGTGCTGGGATTAAAGATGTGTACCACCACACCTGCTGTTCTTTATGGATAGTACAGATTTATATTTCTTTGTGCATGCTGTTTTAATCTTAATTATAAAAATACTGACTGCATCTATATACAAATACTTTTAAAATCTCATTAAACTCATTATAGTACTATCTTATTTTAAAAAATTAACTTTGCTCATATAAACTATCATTGTAAGACAAAATAGCCATTTAAAAAGCAATGCATGTGTTTGGATAATATGTGCCTGGGGTGAATAGAAAGATTTCCTTTCAAGATAAATTCTACACTGTGGCAGTCCTGTGTTTTCTGTTGCTCTCTGTGTCAATGCATACAAGGTAGTATTCAAATTTCAGACAGGAGTATGGAGATTCTCCATCTATAGCAGCTAAGACAATGTCTAGGATGTGCCAAAGGTCTCTTACAGAATGTTAGATAGGACCGCTTTATTCTCAAATTTTCTAAATCACTATGCCCACAGAAGTCCTGGTGGGATTTCAAGATTCTTGATGATTTTTTTCATTACTGTGCTACCTGTTTTCCCTCTTACAGACTCCCCAGTCTTTAATGTGGGTTGAAGAAAAAGTAGAGCGAATCAACAGAATGAAGAGAAAGTAAAACAGACATCTGTAGGAACAAGTGGAATTTCCTAAGTCTTTGCTTATTGAATTGGTTGCTTGGCACTGAAAAATGAAGAAGCAAACTTTTTCTAGTTGCCTGTCCTTGAAGATACCATCTACATTGTACTGATGCAAGGAATGATGTTAACTTTGTCTAGAATCAGCTATAAGCCCCCCCCCACCCCCCTAGCTGGGATTAAAGATGTGTACCACCATACTCATTCTTTTTTATGGATAGTATAGATGTATGTAGATGTATATTTTTTGTGCATGCTATTTTTATCTTAATTATAAAAATACTGACTATATCTATATACAAAATATTCTTTTAAAATCTCATTAAACTGTTAACATTAGTCATTGTAGTACTAAATTATTTAAAAAACAAATGAGTTTTATGCATTTGTTAAAAAAAACCAAATGAAACCACTGATGTTCCCTTGGACATAATTACTTTTGTTACTGGGCTGGGGAGAGAGGCTAGTATGGATATTGGGAGATGCTGCCCTGAGTTGTTTCTGGTTCTAGAAGTATTACTGTGCACTCAACTGTCCCATTGCGGAAGTGTTTGGGCTAAAGACGTCTGTGGATCCAAGAAGGTTGTATCTCATGGGTAATCCACACAGGAATATAAAACCCCTAGGCTCTTATTTAAAACTTAGGAAATCTCTGAAGGGACACCTCCACTTCAGAGCTCACTACAGAGGAAGACTCCGTTAAAGCTTTGTTCGTAAGGGCCCTGCATCCCTCCGTGCCCAGGCCTACTGTCCTTGCTCTCCCAAATACTTCCTAGCAATCCTCTTTGTATCGATTGCACTCAGGTCTGTTTCCAGGGAACTCTGCCCTACAAGATTTTGACTTGCACGCTTTGCCATCTCTCTTCATTCTCTAGCAGAATATGGAGGTTTTGCCTTATGCTCTAGAGAAGGTCGGAATCTTAGCCATGCCTTGTCTGGCTGCTGAATTCTAGGTCACTCTGTTGATTTCTGGTGATTGTTTCATAGTGCCCCCTCCCAGAGTAAGACTCTTACAGGAAGACAGATGACTTAAAAAATACCTTTTCATAACAATTTCTAAGCAAGACATAGGCACAAAAATAAAGCAAAATACTACGTGTTAGAAGAGAAACCACAAATGGTGACTTCATAGAGAGACAAATAGCTGAGACAGACACATCAGCATGCGAAAGAGCAGAATTCATCACATTTGAAGACAACTCTGGGACAAATCATCCTTCCTGAGCATGTTAGACAAGCATTCGTTTTTACATTTGAAGAGCCATGTAGGGTTTTTTTCCTTCCAGTGAGAAGTAAATCCAGGGAATGTAGTAGGTAAATAATCATGAACTTAAAAATATTTGAGTTTAATAACTCGAATTTAATAAATTATGTGAGAAGGGAAAGAAGTTTTGACATTTAGGACAGAGTAGGTTTTTTAGTAGCTTATTTCTGTTTTAGTAATAATGTCAACTGTGCATCCTGGGTTTTTACAGTATTCTGCTTGACCTGAATTATCTCGTTTGGCACAGGCTCATAATAGACATATGAAGTTACTGCACAGTCATGTTTCCCATAGTCCAGGAAACAGATGTTCTGAGACTATTTTTATAACGTGTAGTTTGAGGCAGTTTTTAAGTCAGATAATCTGACATGTTTTTGATTTTGAGACACTTATCCCTCATCATCAAGCACCCTATATTCAAAAAGTGTTTCTAATACACATCATTTAAATGTATCCAGAACAAAATTTCAAACCTGATTTTGTCATTAATCATTTTCCACCATTCTAAAGTAGATAAGTAGTCTGGCAAGAAAAATAACTTTCATCTTGTGTAAGTGTATAAGCTTAAATCCCATCTTGGAGGAGTAGAGGAAATGGCTGGAGGAGTTTCTCTTCAATGGTTGTTACAGTTTTTAGGTTAAAATAGCTTTTAGATCTATTTTTTCAGTGTATGCACTGACCTGCACAGATAGAAGCACTAAGCCAAGAGAGGTTGATAGGCTCCCACACGTTGCCCAAGGGAACAGAGGGAGCACTTAAAGATTTGACATCTAGCAAAAGGAAATATCTGTGTGTACTTCATGGGAGACTTAGAGGAAAGAATTGCATGACCTGCTAAATCATTCGGCTTTCCTAATCATTTGAATGGGCCTTCTTAATATCAGAACTATATTAGTATGAATAAATTTAGAGTATTTCTAACAGCAATGGTATTTGTCAAATTATCTCAAATTTTTGATGCTTGTCTTTTGCATTTATATTTACAATTTTGTTATTACTGAATCACCTTCATGTGAATTTTAACATCTACTGAAGTCATTAAATTGCCAAATTCAGAATATTAGACATACCAACATTTCTTTCTCTTTAACTTGTCTAGGTAAAATGCATTCTGTGGAAAGTGTCAGTCTATGTATCAGGTCAGAACATTGAAAATTAGGTAACATATTTCTTTTTTAAAATTCAATTGGGTGGAGCCTTCAGGGAAGCAGAATGCTGCATGCATGTTAATTTACTTTGATTAGACTTCAGTGAGTCCTGGAGTCTAAATTAAGTGAGTATGATATACAAGCTAGTTGAACCCCCTTCTTCTTTGATCAGTAAGGCATCCTGCTAGGAGAAAGGGGACTTTAATATATTTGGGATACATGGGGTTTTGTGTTCTCTTATAGCTAGGTAGGTTTTTTATATTGGAGTACCTCATTATACACAAGAAATCTTAGCAAGTAATATCACATATCAAATTGGACACAGTATGAACAACTTTCTGGTGATGCTAGAGGGTGAACTGAGAGTCTACACATCCCCCACCATCTCCCTGTTTTCTGTATGTTTCCTGTAACATTTTACTCTTTTTTCCAGGGATGCATCAGGACTTATCTTCTCTCAGCTCTTACTTAGTTACCCTGGACACAGTCTGTAAACCACTGTGGCACTCTTCTTCCTGTTCCCCCATTTAAAATTTCTCTTCTCTTTAGATAATCTCGTTCAAGCTGCCTTCTCCAAATCCTGGATAGTAACTGTTATGAGGTCTCACAAGGTTCAGTGCACAATGTCATTAAGTGAAGCTGTTTGGCAGGTTTGCTACTTTTTCTCTTTGTTATCCATCTTGTTTTACTTCCATTTCTTTTTATTCATTCAAAAATCTTTTGCACTCCCTCTAATAGTTATTATCTTAAACTTGTAGAGACTGTGTTTTGCCATATCTTGAGATAATGCATTTTCTGGGTGCCAGATTCTCATTGATATTAAAGTTCAAAGGATAAGTCCAAAATGGCTAGACTCTATCTTACAGACTATAAACCGGATTCACTCATTTTACCTAATTAAAAATTCAATATATTGTGAATAAGCTGCATGCTTTTACTACATAACCTCATAGCACCAAACAAATGACATAATAAATAATTGAGTCTATTAGACTGCTTTAAGGTGAAGTTATTAAAATACAAGATTATAATCTTCTTTCACCTAGAATTATAAAGTAGTCAAACTACAAAAGAGTCAATTTAGAAAATCAAGTGTTATAGTTTTTCAAACTAGTTTTGAATATTTATCTCCTCTTACGTCTGTTCAGAAAACATAACTTTATTATTCTTGTCTTGATTAGTCAGCCTCTCTATCAGCTGTAAATTCAATAGCTATTACCTATTTATACAGTAATGAGTTGCACACAGGCAAAAGGGGAAAGCGTATGCTCCAGGGAGAAATTTTAATTACAAAGATAATAATAGTCTGTCCTTCCTTTACTCTATTTGTGGTAGGTGTTTAAAAATATGTGTATTTCACACTGGCACCACAAGTGTCCTGTCCTAATAAGATAAATTATTTGAAAACCAGGTTAAATCTTTGAATCTATAACTATTTTTGAAGGCCACAGCACTTCACAACTGAAGAGACTGAGAATGTTTTATGAATACAATTATGATTTGTCATATTTCAAAATATTATTTTATTCATTCCTCTAGATGAAGCTTTCTACCCAGTTTTTTAAAAAAACAGGTGGCAGAGCTAAACACAGCTAAGACATCACTGGTAGGAGTAAGGGAAGCCACATCTGTTTTGCAAATTGAGAATATAGATGGATGCATAATTGATTTCTTTTCCTTGATAAATTATAGGCATAATAAGATGTCTTTAAGAGGAAAAATCAATGTCAAAAGGCAAGATGTGGCATGCACAGTTTTAACCTCTAGAGATTCAAATGTGTGCCACATACCAGAGAGTGAAATGTTCATCCATTGTAGGAAAGTTCTTGTGCTTTTGCTAGGCCATCTATCAATCTGAAATAGACTTTCAGAAACCAGTCAGGATGCAGTCTTTTCCCATAACAACTTCGTGGGGCTGAAAGTATTTGATTTGAAAATAATCACGGAGAAGTATCCACTGTTAAATGTTGGACACTGTGCTGGGGAGAAGGTAAAGGATGCGATGAGAGTATGCTCACCTAGAAGGTAGGACCTGCTTGGCCCACTAGGTCAGTGAGCAGGAGGGTGAGAGAGATTTACCATTTCATTTCTAACTCTGCATATTTGGATCCATTAAACTCCTCGGTCTCTTTTAAAGTTGCTACCATCTTTAATTTGATGTGTGGGAAGACAAGATACTATATCACTGACATTGAATGACCTCTGTGGTTGAGTTATGTTTGACTTAAGATGACCTGATAAATTTTAAAGTTGATGTTCATTCATTCAATCAAATAGATGAATAAGTTTCTTACCTCTACAATTCCTATTTTACCATCATCTCTTTGCCCATATTGATCCACAAAAGTTTTCATCTCAGGTGATAGCTCCTAAAATTATATAAAAAAATTACATAAGATGTTTGTAAAAAAATTCTTATAATGATGTTAATAAATGACTGCAAAGAAAAAATTAAACATGAAATAGAATAGCTGTTACTGTATTTTAAAAATGTTTGCTTTGTGAAAGGTTATTTTATTATGCTATATAGTCTTGTCTGATAACATCTCCTTATGTCTTATCTATGGGAGGTAGGAGTAGATTTGGCTCCCACAAGCAAAATATGCATATGTGAAAGAGCCATCCAGTTTGCAAACAATGGATCCTTCTGGCTTGAAACAGGTGTGTGTTCATTAAATAAAATTAGAGAATTAAATGTTGGGAGAAAAGTATGAGGGGAGAAAATGACTGGGAAAATTTGTGTTTTCACTAGGAACATAGAAAAATATTTCCAAACTTCCCTCGAGATATTATTTTTCCCACATATTTTTTGTATAATAAATAGTACATTGGCATGATTAAGTAAATGTTATCTTCTCCTTTGGCTTTCCCACCTCCAATGTGGTTATTCCTGTTTTTAATCTCTTTGCATATCAACATGTTAGAGAGTTATGAACTGAAAGCTACTTTAAGTGGGTCTCTAACAAAGCCCACTTAAAATATCCTGTTATATGAACTGGTCTATTTAAAATAGGTCAGTTCTTACTAATACCCTTTTCTACCTCCTTGAGGAAGCAAATTAAGGTCTTAATTTTCACCTTAATGAACAAGATGGTAGTGCCAAGTTTACTGTAGCGATAGATAGCCGGTCTAATATAATGTAAGGGTCACACTGAAGCTCCAAAGCACTAATGCCAGAATTTACCCATTTGAAGCCATTGTAAGTATGTAGCAGAACTAAGATAGAAAGCAGCAATAAATTAATTTAATTACTCTGTGATCCTAAAAGAACCCTTCGACTATGGGTAACTTTCAATTTGCATTTATTTAATTTTGGTTCAGAAACAATTACAAGGAAATGAAAGTGTATAGCTCAGCAGTGTCAAGCATGGGAACACCAGCCCCAGACTTTTCACACACAGTTGTAAGTGAACAAAAAACAAAGCCTTCATTTTTAAATGTTAAAATTATGGAATACTACTAGCTCAAGTAGCAATCTTGATGTTTACCTTGGGAAGTTTCTGGGTAGCAACTGTGTTGCAATCTATTTTTTAAATAGTGAGAAGCATGCCATTATCACCACCATCACCATCATTATCAATTGCAGACTTATAAAGATGTCTAAATGTAATGACGACACTTTGTTCAGTGCAGAAGGGTGGTGATTTTGGAAACAGGACACTGGGCTATCATATTCACTTAGTGAAAATGAAGACATTCACATTATTAACGTGGTGAGTCAAATCAATGTTCCTCTCTGTCCTTCTAAGTCAGAAAATGAGAAGTCTGGTTTATCAGTTCAGCATATGTATTTTTTAATAGTGAAGAAACATATAAAAGTAGATTTATGGCAGTAGATCACTAGTTTAAATAAAAATGTGCCCAATATATATGAATTCTTTCTCTAGATCTTAATTTAGATTTTTTAGTTAGCCAACCAAAGCCTATTATGTAATTCACAAAAAATACCCAGGTATCAAGATACTACGCAATTTGATATGACCATGTGCTTGTATGAAAAATTAATATTATCAAATTATAATCAAATTAGATCTTCTTATGAACCAAAATTAGATTCTAGGGAGCAGAGAAAAGAAATAAGCTCTAAATTCTATAACTTCCACCTGAACTTTTTTAAATAAAAAGGAAAGTATTAAAATGAGGGGATGAAAATCACAGATCTCATGAATACTTGTACTTATAGAGTAGAACTAAATTTCAATATTAAAGTTGCTTCTGGAAGATTAAAATATTGTCATTTAGCTTTTAGAAGCACCATCCAAGACTGTAATTATAATTTCTATGAAAAATAAGACTTTCCATATACATTGAATGTATTTTAAATGAGGAAGAAAATTCCTGCTGTCTTATCAGCTAAAGTTCCATGAACTATAGTGATATTAGTACACAAATTTATTTGCATGCTAATACATAAGGGGAAAAGAGGCCAAAGTGCATAGCAGACATTTTTATTTGATCTTATTTTATCACACTTTAGATTACATGGTATTAAATCTGAGTAAAACAATACACCAGAGCATGATCTGGTTTAAAGTCAATTTGGCATAATTTTAGGAACTTGACAGACAGCTGTGAGTGCATTTATAGCTGTATGGCGATTCTTTTTGCTGTTGTATAAGGATATCTACTATACAGTAGACATAACAACAGCAAAAATCTCACAAACAAACTAAAACCAACCCCCAAAATGCAAAAAACAAAACAAAAAACAGTTCTGTTTATATCCCCCCTCTCGGTCTCTGTCTCTGTCTGTCTCTGTCTGTCTCTGTCTCTGTCTCTCTCTCTCTGTCTCTCTGTCTCTCTGTCTCTCTCTCTCTCTCTCTCTCTCTCTCACACACACACACACACACACACACACACACAGCACTAGAAATGGTGGCATGCTGCATAATATCTAGGGATGATATGTATATTATCTTTATGTAAAAACTTATTTGTAATTTTAGTTCAAAAGACCAAAGGCTACTAACATTTAACTACTTCACGTCCAACCTTGCTTTCTGAAAAGCAGTCTTATGTAAATGCCAACAGACCTATAAAGTTCTCAATCTATTCTTTATACAAACATCTCATATGTTTAAATGTTGGTTGGGTAGATTTTATTTTTACATTGATATCATCCTTTCCCAAAAAATAAATTTGGCCCAAAGGAATTAATTCTTAAACAATAATTATAATTTATTTAACCAATGGCTTATGTCAAAACCATAGCTTATTTAAAAACCATCACTAATAGTTTCTCGTCAGATTTTTTTCTTTCTACAATATATGACATTTTTACAATGCTTTGTTTTATTGATTTGTTAATTTGGGGGTTTCTCTCCAATAAAAACGAAAAACCATTTCTTGCTAAATTCTCACTCACACTTATTACAAACTGGTTATCTTTGCTCAGGAATAAGGGTGAAGGCAAGCTGTAGTCTCACCCCTCCCCCGTCCGGTTCCCAGTTACACTGACTTCGCAGCAGAAATTGGCACTAGAATCTGCAGATCTGCTCCTGACCACCAAGGGGCAGGAATGTATTTCTACCCCTTATTTATCGTCTAGAAAAGAGAAGTTAGAAATCACACAACCAACTCAGTGGTAGAGGTGGGGATCTGACGAAGGGTCTTGCACATCGATATTTCCTTTTAAGACCTATTAAGGAAAGGAGGATTATAGAGTATATATGACCGATTTAAGACAATAGGGATTTTCTCTTTAGACGCCCCCCCCCCACACACACACATCACACCACACACTTTTTGTTCTGACGCAATTTGGAAATATGTTCTCCCTCGCCTTTCTTAGTAAGTACGCCTTTACTTTCTCCCACAAAACCTCTTTTATGAAACACAAGAATAGGTATGTCTTCGAGTTGAAGGGTCCTGCACAAACCCAAGCCTACCAATCCAGCCTTCTTTCGCGCTTGCAGAAGCTCCTGGATCAAGTTCTGCAGCTCCTTTCCTTCCAGGTAACCACTTCCTGAAAAGACAAAGAGACACCCAGGTGTCAGATGTCTCTTTCTAAGTTTCTTCTCGGTTATTTCCAGGACAGTCGTCCTGGGAGGCTATGTAGCCAGAGCACCGATTAATCAGCAATGGTACAGTCGCGGCAGCGCTTGGCTTCCGAGGTGTAAAACTTAACAGCATAGAGTGCATAGGAGGGTAGCAGGGGTGTCAGGGATGATGTTTGAAACTTTTGAGAGACAAGGTTTCCTAATCTTTGCTACTGTCCTACTATTTCCGTTCCTAGAAAGGTGAATACTTACAGCATGGGGATGGCGTACACACAATGTAAACTTCCAGGATGATGGGTCGGCAGTTGGGGTGTGTGTGTGTGTGTGGGGGGGGAGACAAGATTAGGTAGGGTGATGGAAGACGGGAAAGAACAGAAAAGGGTGCGGAAGGAAAGAGCAGGGAAGGAGTGGGGACGGGTCTTGAAAGGGTTAAAAAGATAGAAAATAATCACCGTCAGCGTCGAAATGAAGCCAGATCTCAAAAAACTGTGAGGCTGTGATCAGAGATGACTGCAGGTGGGATTCTGCCATGGTGCAGCGGCTAGTTTGAGAGAGCGCTGAGCGAGAACCTCACGGCGAGAGGGCTGCGCAGGCTGATCTGGGCGCGGCGCGGCCGGGCGCTGTCCGCGGTGCTGCTCCGTTCGGGCGTCCTCCGGAGTTCTCCGCACCCCGCACCCAGTTCTCAGTATTTATCCTGCCGGCCCCAGGCCGGGCCACGCCTCCTCCTGCCTCCCTTTCCTAGCTCCCGCCTCTTGCTCTCACCAACCTTCTTCCCCTCCCCTCCAGATTTCTCTCTTCCCTGGAAATAGCTGGAGCTGGAGTTTTGGAGTCTAGGAAGCAGCAGGTGGTGGGGATCCCTTGCTCAGACTCATCTCTCCTCACAACCCCCTGGTCCAGGGAGGCTTTTACTCCCAAATGTTAGAGTAAAGCAATATACCTATAATGGATTGATTTTTAGATGGAAGGGAAAGCTGATTGATAAACCACGTTAGTGGCGATTTTGTCTGCCTATTATTTATCGAGGCAGTCCAGTATTTGTTTGAACAAAATCAGACTGTCAAGTATTAGTTTAATTTGATTAATGCTTACGATGGGGTTGTTAATCACAACAATGCTTTATATTGCGCTAATGGAGACATCACGTGGCTGTTTAAGATGTGAGCTCTCCTTAGAGATAGGAGAATGCAGAATTCTGCTGGTTTTGCTGTTGTTTCTTTTTAAGCTCGAAGTAGAATTATTGGAATGTAGTAGAATTAACTCATAAGAATTTAGGATGCTAAGAAGGAAGTGATTTTAGCGATGCCGTTAGTTACTTGCATCTTACAAAGTAGAAACTGAAAGAAATGTAACACGTAGTCACTAGGCAAACCAGTGATTCAGTAGCAGCCCCATTAACTGATTTTACCAGCTACGCCTCTCCTATCTCTAGGTGAGGGATTTTTTTCAGAAACCGGAAATCACTAGAGGTGGGAAAAATACCTAGTTACGTGTTATAACTGGTATTTTAATATGGCAAATGCTGAATTTGGGTTATTATTTATGTAAGTATTTCTAAATTAGCTAATTGTCAATCTTTTGAGACCTTACGGTCCACTGAAAATGAACCCTAAGTGTCTGGTTACAATAACACAAAAGCAAAGTAGTGCGGTATAAACTTTCAAAACGATGTCATGAAGCTGCACACGTTTCACCTGTGTTATAGAATATGGAAGCATCCACATTTGTGTTTCCTCCAGTAGTGGGATTGTGAGACTTTCAGTTGTCTTCTCCATACAGGTCTTGCAACCATAAGGCTCTCAAGGTCTCATGGATGTAAGTCGTTTTGCCTTTCAGCACCTTATCTGATTCTCACACAAATCTCAGGCTGATATACAAGAAGCAAGCCAAACTCTGAGAGGATAACAAGGATATTGTTTTTACCTGAAAGGATTAAATGCATGCCCAGTTGTTTATATTTTCATCTATTCAGTGAACACTTAACAGCTTTCGGGTCAGGTACCCTGCTAGGTCCTGGAAGCACTGCAATAAAGAGTATTATGCTCACTTTCTTGAGGCTTAGTCTTATATTGATGGATCCACATGAACAAAGGAAACAGGGCATTTTTGACCCAATACATGTACATTACTTTTGTGCATATATCTCCTAATTTCCAGGGAAAACTGAATCTCAGCCTACCCAAGTCACATCCTTATATAAAAAGGTCTGTTCCTCAGTAGACACATCCTCCATTATCCCACATTTATGTAACATATTTTTCATACAAAGCTCTTGTTCACAAATGCAAACAGGAATGGGACTATTTCAATACCTAATTTTCTAAGACCTAGAATAAACTCGTTCAAAGTCTTGCTGTTTCATTTCTCCTTAGAACACCCTTCCAGTGTTGTCACCAATGCCTAATTTATACTTTTAAATAGTTGGCTAATAGTTTAGTGATCATCCATCTCTTCTAGTGTTCCACTGTGACCAACAGCTGCACCAAATATCTTCAGATACTTATTTTAGATATACATTTTTTTTCTGGTCATACGGTACTAATGTTAGTACAAAAGCATACATAATTTAAATTTTAAAGAACATTTCTAGGTTAGTTCTTCCAATTTGTATCAACTCAGATTAACAAGCAGTAAATATGGCATCTTCAACATCTTTGATTGTTATAGTCTTCAATTTCTTAAATTTACATTTTAGTTTTTTAAGGTAATATTCTTTTCCTGGATTTTTTTTTCTAGCAGAAGAAATTTCATAAAATACATTTTTCTTTTTAAAGTACTATTAGTCTTAGACTCTCATTTTAAATCAATATCTCTTTTTAAACATTTTTGGGGTTACTTCAAAATTAAATTCAGCTTAAGGACACTAAATAAGTGTGTGTTTCAGTTCTACAGCTCTGAAGTAACTTAGGAACTATTTCTGCCTTCTGCCTGCTGACTTTTTCAGTTCATTAACCAGGATTGGGAGGGTGTTATTTCTCAAGTGTTCAGGAAGCTCTTTCACTTTCTAAGATTTTAGAAGAAGTACACACCCTTTGAATAGTGAGATTGTTCCATAAGATTAAACTTTCCAAAAGCATTGCAAAGCACTTTTATGACTTGCTCGTTAGGCCTCATTACCCAGCATTAAGGTGAATGGGTTCATGATCCCACATGTCATAAAAGAGGAAAAATATCTCCAGCATGATTAAACTCTTTCCCATTTCATTTTACTGAATTATTACCTCTCCATTCAGACTCAGGCCTCTATTGGCAGTTCAAATCACTATGCATATGAGAGAACCAGAGCCTTTCAGGTTGAGTGAATGCTTACTTAGCCTTCAAGCAGAAAAGAAAATGCTTCAATATTTTACTATGGGTTCAGGTACATGGAAGATTTCTTCACACGCTCTTATGAACCTGTCCACACATAGGGTTTGTAATAGATTAATCAAGCCTTCTAGGGGAGAGATTCATGATGTTATCTGCTAGTGTTTTCTGAAAGGTCCTACACCCCCCTTCCCCAGGAGCTGAAAGGTTTGTATAGATGTTTTGATAAAAGGACTCTATTCTTGGGCTAGCTAGTTATCGTGGGAAGTATGTTTCATTCAGAGTGCTACCATTTCTAAAAACGAGCTGATTGATCAAATGTAGGTTATTCAGAAGAGAGCAAACACGCTTTGGAATACATTTTAGATACATTTATGGGATTTAGAACATGAATGGGAGCTTGTGGATTTAGATAGCAAAGTTTGGCTTGGAAGAGCTGCCCTCATGATTTCGTCAGGCTTACCCAATGAGAGGGAGCAGACTGTATTGGAAGGCCGTTTCACTCACTGGTGTTATCTTTTATAGTTTAAACAGACTTCTCACCTTTGCAGTTCTTCACAAAGATGAACTCTTGTGTAGGAGTGGTTTGACCCCACAGGTGTTCAGGAACACTCATTCGTTTAAGCATTTCATTGATCACAGTATAGAAACCAGGGGTTACAGTGGTGACTGAGACAGAGTATTTGTGCCCTTTTTAATTTAAAGCTTAGCAGAAACAATGTAGCAATGAAGCCTACATGGTTGACTGGGGCAAGAGTTATGAAAAGAACACTGGCTTGGAGGTGACTTGACGGTACAGCTTCCTGGACCCTTTCCATTTCTTTAATTCTATAATTTTGTGACTGCTTGTTTTGGCCTATATTGGGATAAACATCATGAACGTGGACAAGAGATTTCTTGTAGGAAGTATAGGTTATGGCCTTGAGAGGCAAATTTCTTTTTATTTTATTTTCAAAGATTTTATTTTTATCTTAATTGTGGTGTGTGTGTGTATGTGTGTGTGTGTGTGTGTGTTTGTGTGTTTGTGCATGTAAGTGCATTGCCCACAGTGGCAAGGAAAAGATCTTGATTCTTTGCAGGTAGAGTTTCAGGTGGTTGGTGATTCATCTGACACAGGTTCTAGGAACCAAAATTTCAGTTCTCTATAGTAAAGTTTGTGCCTTTAACATCTTTCTGTCCCATAGAAATGCATTTCTTGATGATAAACTACACTTACAGCAATTATTAAGCCTTTTAGCCTCATTAATTTTATTCCTGAATTACAAAGACTAGTAAATGTTACAAAGTACAAAAACCATGTATTGTGTTTGTTTGTTTGTTTGTTTTAGACAGGTTTCTATACACAGTCCTGGCTGTCCTGAAACTCAACTTTGTAGACCACACTGGCTTTGAACTCACAGAGTCACCTGCCTCTGTGCCTGCTGGGCTTAAAGGTATGCACCACAAGGCTTGGCCCCAAACCCATGCCTTTTAACTTCTCTTAATGTTATGCCCACCTTTAAAAAAAAAGAGACACAGAATTTTTTTTAAGAGAAAGAGACTTCAAAATGAGAGGCTTACTATCATATATTTTCTATAATTATACTTAAAGTCACCAGGCTTTTGCAATTCATACATATTTTCATCAATTCTGCACCCTGTTCTTTCTCACATTTTAGTATTTCAGAAATGATGAATCTAACAGTTATTTCTCTATAAATCATACAAATTCTCATCAATTCTGCCTTCTGTTTTTTCTCACATTTTAATGTTCTTGAAATGATGAATCTGACAGCTATTGATCTATAATTATCAGGTCAATGTGTGATAATCAGCTGTATTTTAATGATTAGGAAATCTGTTAATTTCTTTTAAAAACAGTTTGAGTGGGGTTGGTGAGATGGATCTCCACAGACAGGCCACTTATTATGAGACTGTTGGCCTAAATTTGATTCCTAGAACTCATTTTAAGAGGAGGCAGGGAGAACCAACTCCACAAAGGTGTCTTCTGATGTGCCTTGGCATGTGCACATATACACATCATACGAAACATACTAAAACAATAAATAAAGTCTAGACTATTTCAGTGGTTACTCATTTGCTTGAGCATTAGAATTTAAATTCTTTAAGCCTAAAATTCAAACAGACGTATATTTTAGTATCATTTCCCACACTGTCCTTGTAATATCTAACAACAAAATCATTTGTATATTTGAGCACTGTTTCTTTGGGATATCTGGTGACCCACTCCTTTGGCATCTCCTTTTTACTAAGAGGTAATATTTCTGCAGTGGTGCAGTTTGAGTTACTTTCTTGCCCTCTGCCTTCCCTGCCCGACCCCTCAGAAGGAAGGTCCAGTTATTTACTAAGCAATTTAAAGAG